AGGCTGGGCAGGGAACTACTCTACAGTAAATTTTTTGTTACTATTCTACAGTAAAAAAAGGAGAAAAAGATCAAGAAATGGTTCCACGGCACGGTCCTGGCACGTCACCAAGAGCAAGACAGGACAGTCACCCACGACCGGCTTTGCACAGCCACTGAAAGCATCTCTCCCTGGGAATCCCTTTCTTTTCCACGTAGCTTTCCAAGCGCAGGCTTGACAAACCGGAACAGACAGCTCCGAAAACACATGTCCTCCTTTGCAGAGACAGCCATGGGTCAGGGATTAAAAACAGAGCCAGGATCGTGCTGCAAGAGCAGTCGAGGGGGCAGAACTTATTCTGGGTTTCAAAACAAAACAAAACAAAGCAAACTTGCACACACACACCCTGCAAGCGCTGTTAGACACGTTTCTTCTCTTCCCTTGGCCCCAGCAAGAGATTGAGGAATCAAGTCTTTGACTCTGATGTCCCAGGCCCATCCCTGTGGCCCTGCCATGGGAACTGGATGGCAGCATATACACATCTCCTCATCCCCTCAGGTCTTAAATTTTAATCTTTACCTTTTATAAGCTTATTTTATCTTCTCCTTTGGCAAACATTATTCCCCTCTTACCCCGTTCAAACCTGACTTAGCTCATTAGTAAGAGGTTACTGTACCTAAGTGCATGTAACCCAATAAAGCCAAGGTTCCTGGCACATGAGAAGCCAGCCTCCCCTCGTCTTCTAAGGGTTTTCACGAACAAAAATGCCCTGTTTCCTCTAGATCAGTCCCTACTGCCCTTTGTCCTCTACTGGCTCTGGGCAAGGTGCAATACATGCACAGGATCAAGGGAAAATGCTCAGGATGGAGCTGTGGCTCCAACCCTTGGTAGCCAAGCCCTGCACCAGGGCTATGGTGGGCATAGCTTCTCCCCACCCAAAAAACTAAGATGAGGGCTGGAGGGAGAGCACAGCTGCATCTCCAGCTTATTGGGAGCTACAGCACATTACTGTCCTTGGCCTGAGGACTACCATGGTCACCTGGCGCAGGGGAAGATTTCAGAGCCAAGTTCCAGCCAAGACGAAATGCCACTGCAATTCTCCTCCCCCAAAAACCTATGTTTGGTGTTGGAAGTAATGAAAATTGAAGATACCCTGACAATGAGAATACATACATACTACTTCATGCTGGGCAAAAGTAGAAACGCACAAATTGCTGTAAGCATTGCTGTTAAGAGTCCTCCGGGGCCTGGATGCGCTCTCCAGGGCCAGGATGGAAAAGGTTCCCCAGGCGGCTGCACTCCTGGGCTGTGCAAGGGACCCCATGATGTCTTTCCTACCTGACCAAGCGCAGAAGGCAGCAGCCCAGTCAGACCAGGAATCACCTTCACTGGGATGAGGATCTCTGAGAAGAGGCTCAAGAATGACACATTTCTCTTTGGGGAAAAGAAACTTGCCGGAAGGGCATGGGAAAAGGCCTGTTTGGCGCACAGGGGGATGGACACAAACCCTCTGGCTGGGGGGTGGATGGGCACTGAGGCGAGCATGGCAAGCAAATAACTCTTCACAACTTGTTTGGCTTGTTTGCCATCTGTTTTATCTTCCTTCTTTTTCAAGTTCAGTCCAGTACAAGTTTTCAACTATCAGCTCCTCTTTTTTTTTTTTTTTTTTTTTTTTTACTGTTTGCCACTGTTGAAGGACGAACGGAGGAAAGGCTAAAGGGGAGGGAATGGGAAAACCGGGAAGAAAAGAAACAGCGAATGAAGAATGGAGAAGGAAAACACAAGAACTTTTGGCTTGATTTCTTTTTTAACAAACTATTTTCCTGGTTTTCCTTTCTGGAGAGAGGGATGAAAATGGTCTTTCAATTTAAAAAAAAAAAAAAAAAAAAACCTGAAAACCCGAAAGTGGTAATTAGGTGCCTGATGGGTGCCTGTCCTTTCTTCTACACACAGTGTTTTTCCTCTGACCAGGAGGAACAGCACAGTACGGCCACCTCGTAACTTCTCCTGGACTTCAGCTTCACAGGCATCATGTCCTGGACTCTTACCAACAATTACAGGTTGGGGGAAAAAAAAAATCTCTCCCTCCTTTGCATACCACCCCCTCGATAGTGTACTTACACGCTGGTGATGCACAGGAAGAGAGCAGTTTCCCATCAGACAGAGGGGTCTCCAGCGATGATGCCCACTTCCAAGGGCTGATGGAGAGCTGTCAGACCTGCCATATGCATGCAGCAATGCCCGAGGTGCTTCGATCAGTTTAGCAAACCCTTCCCTGGTCTCTCACCATGCTGGGGGGCTCATAACAAAAGACACTGTCCCCTGTTGCCCCAGCTGGGTGTACTTGGGTCACTGAGCTTTCCCTTCAACTTTCTGAGACTCTGTGAATCCCATCCAAAGCGTCTGGATGAAATTTCCTGATCCTAGGAATTTTGTAATTGCTTTCAGTGGGGACAGCAATACCTCCCCTGACTTTATCAAAATATGCTGCTTCCTGGCAGAGGTGGGACGCTACTATCAGATTATACACAAGCAACAGAGGAACCAGTTCATGCAGTATTTATTTTCAATAACACAGCCCCATATTTGTGCTCAAAATTGAGAAGCAATTTATTTTTACCTAGGATTTCTGCAGTGTTCTCAGGCTACTTCAGAAAAAGGAGTGAACACCTCTCCATGAGTTCACTGGCAGTATGACACTACCTTACATCTTAAAGGCATGGCAACAGGAGCAAAGGGATTAAATGTCCTACCCAGGGTGGTACAGGAAACCCATGCTAACGCCCAAGACCAAATCCGAATGGCAAGTCCCAGTCCTTCAGCCTTCCTTTCTGTTGCTTGAAGAAAAGGCAGGTTTCCTTCTCAATACCAATACCGCTGTTCTGACCATGGGTAATGTCAGGGCAGCTGCAGCTCGTGCCCAAAAATCAAACCTCTCATGCAGCTCCAAGTGTGGGGTGGCAGCCGCAGAACAAGCACCCAGTGGGCACCCGGCACACCCCGGGGCCGGTGATTTTGCCCTGTAGAGACCCGCTGCAGAGAGCTGCTTCCCCCCACCAAATTGTGAGCAACACTGCTGGGAGGGAGAGGAAAAAACCACCAAAATACTTACCATGAGGCCCGACTGCAAGCCTCTGGATGTTAAGCTCTTCCCACGACTGTTGCTGCAACGTGACATTTAGCTCTTTATAAAATAAAAGTGGAATAAATGGTGTGTTATGTGGTGCTGCAGTCCTTTGCAGGGAATGAGGTTTGCCAGCTATCTCTGCCTTTTAACAGTAAATCATCTCCCACCAAACAATAACGTCCCTGAGAGGTACGAATTTTGACACTTGACTTTCAGTGTTCACCAACAATTTTAAGTCTTTAGTTTTTAAAGGGAAGGAAGTTAAATGAGGAAAAGATTGCCCTATGCTAATTCACCAGCTAAACTCACAGGAAGCTACAAAAGATAAGGTTCCCATAGCAATTGGAATAGGTACCACATTGCACAGATGAGGCCCGATTTTCCCGCTTACTTTCAGTGCTGGTGGTTTATCTCCACACAGCACAGGGAAAAGCAATTACTTGGAACGAGGAACAAGGGAAAGGGAGCCTGTGGCATCTCTGATTCTTTTTAATGGCCATTCTCCAGCGTGGTTTGATGCACCACTCTTGTGCATCACAGCCATCCACCGGGACGTGTACCCCCAACAGTGGCAAAGCTCCTGGGGGCATCCCGCCACTGGCTTTTCCTGAGGTTTTAACTGTGAAATTCTGGTAGGCTTTCAAGCAGGTTTTGGCAGGGAGCTTACAACCCCAGCCTCCGCAGGACAGAGCTGTCTGGCACCACACCAAACGCCGCATCCGAGCACAATCCCTCCCAGCCATCGCCTCACATTCATGACTACCCTGGCAACGAGAGACCTTTAATTCTTCCCAATCTGCTTCCAATGAACCCATCTTACCTATTAATTATTGTTTTATCTTGCCTGAGCTTATGATTATTGCACCCGATTATGTCTTTCTTATCCCCTGAGCAGTCATCTGCAGCAAAGCTGCGGGAGCACAATCCTTCTCCCACCCTCGCCCCAAAGCTGTTTGGGAGCACAGAATCAAGCCCATCAACTCCTTCATTAATTCCTCTACAAAATGCCCCAGCAGTGCAGTTAAACTTGTGGGCGTGCAGTCCCCAGGGTCTCATTTCTCCCTGCTGTGCTGCAGCTCATTTTTTTTAACCAACTGCTCTGGGACTTTTCCTTCACTCCATGAATTTTCTGAAAGAATTGTCAAATATTCAGCTGTTTCACTCTCGGATGCGTTCTCCCTGGGCCATGTAGTTTTGATCAAGAGCAAGCACCCTAGACAGATATTCCTCACTCCCTTTCCAGCCTGAGACTACCTTGAGATCCATCACCGATAACTGTGATTGCATCGAGCACCCTGTCACTCTCTTCCCTTTCAGTGACATCCGAAGCCGTAACCACTAACACTGCAGACTCCTTTTATCATTGCCTACGATACGTTCCTGGCTCCCTCGCCCTCATACGTAGGTGACCTAGTGCTGCACTTCCCTCTGACATCCTCCAGCTTCTTACATACTTCTCAACCGACTTGCTTACTCCCCGTGCTAACGCCCCGTCATTTCATGCCTTTGCTTCCCTAACTTTGCTCCTGCGCATATTTATTCTCTGCTCTCTCACCACTGTGGTTTCCTTTCCTCCTCCCAACATGATCACTTTCTTTTTTGCCTTTTTTTTTTTTTGTAAACACACAGTTTTTCTCTTCCCCACCAGTGTCAATACTGGAGGACACTTCTGACAAAAGTGTGCTGCTCCCTCCCCAGGTGCTGACAGGGAGAGTTATCCCCAGGGATTCAAACGCTGGCACTGGTGGGTGCAACCAGCTGGCTGGAAGGAGAGGGTGTCCCAGATGCTTCTGCCTCCGACGTGGAGAAGGGAAGAGCCCAGGAGAGAAAAAAAATCACTTCAGGAAGGAGAGAGAGAATCAGTCCAGGGTATGAAGGAAACATCCCCAGTGCCTTAGAAGTGGGTTTCTCTCTCTGTGATGCTGAGTACCTCCTGGACCGGGGCTGACCATCCGCTGCACTTCATTCCGGACAGACCTGCTACGTACTTCTTTGGCTGCGGCAGATCCTCCGCTGGGGAAATCAGCTGCACCAGCCGCTGCGGAGAGGAAGCCTCTGTTAATTAAGCTGATAAACAAACTGACACCCAATAGCGATCCACAACCATCGCTGGGGGCAAAGGCATCCAGAGAGCTATTGCTCCCTCTCCCTGTCCCTCTCCCACTGAATGGCTGTGAAAGGGAGGAGAAGGAGAGCAGGCTTGCTTTAACTGCTCTCCATGACAGTGATTCCATCTCTGGGCTCAAACCCGGGCCGTGGACAACCTGATGTACAGGGCTTCCCACAGACATATTTCTGGAAGAAAGGATGTTAGCAATTAGCCCCATGTCATTTTCTGTGGCCATGGAAAAATCACTGCAAAGCTCTTCTTTTCTCCTGTGTCAAGGAGCTGTGCTTCCCATTGACTTTCATAGGAACTGTGGAGCCTTCCAAAAGGTCTGACCATCAGAAAGTGCTGGGCATCTGCTGCTACAGTCTGAAACAGGGTGTCATGCAATACCTGCCTCAGTCCACAGACTGGTTCCTGCCCCCAAACCATCCCAGCTCTCCTCTTCCAGCCAGAACAGCTGTTCTGGTTGTTCTGGTTGTAGAACAGCTGCCTGCCCTTAGCTCCCCCCATCCTCTGGTGCTGCAGGTTGCTCCACACACACGTATGCTAGTGTTGTGTCAGCTCTGGGGAGTTTATTCTTAAAAAATGCCAAGAGCTTGTGTGCAAAAGGTCCTGGCCCAGCGAGACAGCTGCTGTGAATTTCTGGTCTCTCTCATGCCATTTTTGAAGCCACTCTGGTACCACACACCATCCTGAGCGCCTGGGCTCCCCCAAAGCCAAGTAACCCACTGTGTCCTGCAGCCCCCTGCCCGGCTCCGTGTGCCAGTGGATCACCTCCCTGCTGAATACCAACTTTCACAGCTACGGACTCTTTCCATCGCAGGCTGCTCCTCTCTTGCAGAGCGCATCGTGAGCAGAGCAGCCAATTCATCCCTGACTCACTGGATTCATTTCAGCGCTCCCATTCCTTGTGAAGTGCCTGCCAGAATCCCAGATTTTGCTCATTTATTCAAAAGTGCTTGCCCCATAATTTCTGAAACTGGCCTTGGCCTGCATCTGCTCTGAGAGCAGTTCATCGCAAGTTTTCGGTCTTCAGAGCTTGAGCTGTCTTAACCAGACACATTAGGAAACAACATTCATGTTTCTTGATCAGTCAGGTGTAGCAAGAGGAATCAGTTTGTTGCAGTGACTGATCATAATTACTGATTACAAACTTTCTTTCAGTGGATGGTTTGCCATGTTCAGTTGAAAGGCACTCTTCCTGCAAGCATGTGTGTCAGGAAATTAATTCACTGCATTTCTGGGGCGTGACTGGGAAAAGGGAACAGGTATATTTTGAGAAAACCTGTTTTCAAAACAGGAGCAACTATTCCAGGAGGTATCGTGTGGATGGCTTTGATTCTTCCCTGAAACAACCCAGGCTTAGCAGCTGATTTCTTCCTACATGCCTAAACCACATCCTTGGAAGTTTCTTCATACTAATGTAACTAAATTGCCCCTGGAAATTACAGCTAATATTATCTAAACCAGGGAAAATAGAAAAACCCTCAATCTGAAATTGGCCAAATCAATTCCTCAGATGTGCTGTAAAGTAAGCATTAGCTCTACCCACAGCAACATTTTGGTACAAAGGCTCAAAGCACTTTGCAAGAGATAAGAAATGCTGTTTATCGAGCAGGCAGGACGTTTGGGCAGCTAGTCCACTGACAACTCCAAGTCCTTCTTCAGACATATGAAACCTCCGAGCTGTGGGGAATCAGACGTGTTGTCAGCCACCCCCTCAAACCAGCCATGGGAAGGAACAGATGCGTTACCACTAAATGGCCCGGAGCACAGGAGAGGGCTGTAAGAGGCAGGACTCAAGGTCTGAACTTGGAGGACCTTGGCACAGGGTTCACCTGAGGCTCCTCATACTGGGAGTTGTAGAGCTCCCAGCTCCCTCCCACCCATGTCATCTTTTCATGGCCACCAATGACAACCAGGAGGCTCAAGGGCCAAAGGCAGCTAAACAGGAACTATTCCATAGCATCATACTTCTCCTCCACCTCCCTGCCTGCACGGCGTATGCTCCTCTCTGTGTCACTGAACACTTTCATCACTACTGATCCTGTCTGGGCCCTGCACTGTATCTTCTGAGATGGGTATTAGCCAGTTCTGCCACAACTCCTGTCACTCCCCGTTGAATCACACCTCCCAGCCACCAAATAAGAGCTCCTGCAGGCACAGAAACACCTTCCCTGAGGCAATAGAGCCAGCAAGGATATCCTGCACCCAGCCCATCCCCTGGTTGCATTGGCAGTACAGGTTCCTCCTCCCCATGACCCCACAATGTGACTGTCACACCTACACCACTGCCGCAGGGATGCTCCTGTCCCCCGTTCACCTACTCCCCACCCCAACCAGCTGCAGGTGAGCCTAGAGTGAGGTGAGTCAGTGAGGATGGGGAAGGATCAGAAGAGAAACTGTGCAGAAATTTATAAGTACATCACTTCATGGGTCAGGTGGGGTGTCATAGAAATGACACCATCTTCCTAGACACGCTTCTTTTAGGACAAGGTGTATACACTGAAAGAAGACAGGCACGGCCATGGCACAGGGTAGACCTTTACAGCCCTGTGAGCATCTCCTCTTTAATAGCCACATGTCATTTCTTCAGGGAAAACAACACAGTCCTGACCCAGGACTAAAAGGGGAGCAAGGACATGACGTAAAGGCAAAACAAGGCTCACCAAGCCCTCCAAATTACCAGCAAGAGCTACAGGACACTCTGGAGATGAGCCACTCTCATCCCTCTTCCCTTCTCAAGGGAGAAATGTGCCATGTGCATCTTCCCTGGGGCCCTTCCCATGAGCCATCTGGGGGAAGCAACAGCATCTCACCCAGTAACCACCATCCCAGTACCTGCTTCAGAGGTCCTTTGGTTTTCAGGAGGATGAAGATGGCATAGAGAGGAATGCAGACCATGGAGGAGAGTGCCATCAGCCAGCCCACCACGTAGCCCCAGTCCGGGTACACGTAGGAATTGTTGTATTTCAAGGGTGTATACTTGATCAGGGAAAACAGGAAGACAGCCTGAGGAGCAGAAAACACAGACATAGCCAGAGTGAACGGAGCAGCAACGCTGGGCAGCCTGGCCATCCTGCAAGCACCGACGGGTGGCAAGGCGCGTGGTCTCTTGCGTGAGCTAGCATGGACCTTGCTAGCTGCAGCAAGGCACAGACTGCTGCATGCTGACCACACAAGGAGTTATCTCAGAGCCAGTGTAAAGCCTTCAGACTTCCCAAGGGTTCAACCTAAACAAAGTTGGCAGCAGCTTTGAGGGTTCAGCACACTGAGACAGCCATTTATTCATATCAAAGTCAGGAATTGTTGCTGTCCCTGGCAGAAGCCCTCCAGAAATACCTCGTGGGCACAGCTTTAATGCTCTCGGGGCTCTAGCCAGAGAGCTCTCAGATGATTTGGGCTGGATGAGGCTTACTTTGAAAATTTCCCTGATATTCAACTTCTGCTGGAGGACAAGAAACCTTCTGTAAGCTGTAGCTATAGGTCCCATCTGTGTTCCCACCGAGGTCAAAGAAAACAGCTCTCAACATCAGATGCAGGAGCAGAATTTAGTTGAGAAATCATGTAAAAGTCAGTGGAGCAAGACTGGACATAAACCGAAAACAGGCAAGAACTTGCCTGGCTCAGCGTGCATTTTCTTTAAACACAGCTGTCACAGGAGCTTTCAAAGAGGTTTAATAACAGAAAGAAAATGGCTATGGAAAGATATTTCTGAACCATGGGAAGTCACAGGCACACAGGCTGAAGCAAGTATTTCAGAGCAGGGTAATTCTCACTGGTCTTGTATTCAAAAGTAATTTGACCAAACCTCTCCAGACGTTGAGGATACATTTCCCTTTGCCTTCACAGTAAACAAGTGGCTTTTCAGGCTCAATTAATTTTCCAGGCAAAAGATAAGGCTTTACAAAGGAAACTAATTGCTGCCTCAGCTATGGACAAGCTTCTGCTTCTTCACAGCAGTATGAAAACATTACAGCAGTACCTTGAAGACCAATCAGCCTTTTCTACTGAGAGCCCAGAGACCCAAATAATATGCCACGTTGTCATAATCGCACTTACCAAGCAAAGACCCGGGGTGACCACCAGCCAGCATATCTTGATCAAGGGCCATGGTCGGAAACCAATCATGTCCTCAATGTTGTCGTAGAAGCGGTTGGCACCTTGGCCACCAGCCAGCACAAAGACAAAGTGAGAGGCCAGATCATTGTTGTTTCCTTCAACCAACATTTACAGGAGATCCCAACTTTCTTTATCCTCAGTGTTTACTCATGGCAAAAACGCAGCTATCCTAAAAACATTACAGCAGGTGACAGGCTTTTCTGGCATTGAAAAGGCCCATTTGTGGCTAAAGAGAGATGAAGGTTTTTAACTTCAGCCATAAGTTATCAGAAAGCTTGACGTGGAAGAAATGCCCTGTCCCTCAGAAAGCAGCAGCTGTAAATGAAAGGATGCAGCCCCTGTGCCACTAAGAGCTGGCAAGGACTAGCACAAGGCAAGGAGGGGTGCCTGCTTTACAGGTCAGCAAGGGAAAGGTCTTGCAGGTTGAGCATATGAGATTGTGTGAGCCCAGAGTGCAAAAAAGAACAAAGAGAGTAGGGGGCACCAAACAAAACCTTCTCTTTATAACCAGATTGGCACATCATGGAAATCGCATCAAGAATCCCCACTGAGCTGGGCATTTCCCCTGTCATCAAGAGTCTGCTTTCCACAGAATATTTTATTTTTGGCATACAGTCAGAAGACCTGGCAATCCAAACTCTGCTGGAAAGCAAATCATTCATCTGCAAGCGCTGCAATACTGTCTAATGGGAGCTGTCCTGTGGGTGAATGATCTCCTGCTCCTGTCACCAGATTATGCTGTCCACAGTATGGGGGACCCACGTGAATTGCAAGGTGACTGAGAGTGGGATATACCTCTGAGAGCATCTAGAAGTCCTGCCACTGGTCAAACCCTATCCATTGACTCTTCCCAACCCAATGCTCAAAGAGGAAATGTATGCAATGGTATACAGGGGAGACGGCAGACCTTGTAGTAAACTCTAGGATGTCTTGAAGGAACAAGAGCCTAATGTTGGCCAAAAAGAGATGTAAAATGAAGAAGAATCAAAAAGTCATTCATAAGATGCCCTAACTTCTTCCTAACTAGAGGTACTATATCAGGCTGCCTTGGGTAAAGCAGAATAACAATATTAGACCAAAATAAATGGAGCTAGACTATCCATAGAAAGGGTTACCAATTAAGCACCTCTGGGATGAAATCATACCATATTTGTCTTACTGAAGTTCAACCACGGTGCTTAGCTGATAAAGAAGGGCTCTGACTTTCGGGGTGTTCATCCCGCTGTGAACTCAAGGTCATGCCACAGTTCCCACCTGCAAGCATGACGAGACCTGGCTCCTTTGCAGCTCAACACCAGAAGGCTAGGCTGGACAAAATACATGTCTAGAGGGCTGGCCACACTTGTGGGAGTTTGGAGTTTTATTTTGGTTTGTGTTTTAGAATTAGATTGCTATATTATGTTTCCTTTAAATATATGAATTCTACAAAAGCACATTATGTATGCTTTTCTTTTTTGTAATTTTTTGCATTATTTTCTATGTCCCATGACTAATGTTTGCAGGAAAGCTCTTTTAAATCCAGCTTTTTGAAGTATTTAGGTTGAGGAGGGCAGGTTCTTTGAACATCTCATGGTTCCCCATCTAGAGTTGGCAAGTTAACAAGTAGCCTCAAGCAAAGACAACAAGCTGTGGCATATCAAGGGACGCACAGCCTTGCGTGGGAGTCCAGCCTACACCAGAGAACAGAGCCCTGAAACTTCCAAGCTGTAAATATCATGAGGCTTCAGATAGCATTTCTGAAAATACACTGGGGCTGGAAGGGAGATGGTATAAAAAATTTATATTGCCAAAAAGACAAAATCTTCCACGGGGTGGGGTGGGAAAAGAGAGAGATATAAATGATGTGACTTGCAGTTCAGAATACAAGCATAGCACAGCCTCTTATACCACACAGTGTTTCCACAGAAACACACTGTGATGGCAGACTTATGACAGATAAGGTCATTCATAATACCACTTTGTGGAAACCAAAGTTGCACTGCAAATTTGGATCTAGGATCTAGTGGAGGAGACACAGCAATTAAAGAAATACAACCCAAAACCTATGTTGCTAGTTACAGTGTACCTTCACCTGTCCTTCTCCCTATTCTCTGTAGTGCAACCGTCAGGTCCTGCATTTCCACAGCCACCGTGGCAGTCAGTAGTTGATATGATGAAACACAGGGGACTGATGTGAATGTCCTCAGAGGGTATACGAACAGGAGGTTTTACATGCTCTATGTTCCGCAGGCAGATGAAAAAGTAATCAAGCTTAAGAAATCATCAGTTCAATCACCCAACATTGGCTTTTTGAGCAAATTAGAAGCTGGAGGATGCATGCAGTCCCTCTTCCTTCCCAGTGCATTAGAAGGATTAGATAAAGCTCCTGCAGAAAAACCCACAAAGATTTCCCCAAAGAGATTTTTGTTGAAATGAACAAAAATGTTTGCTCTTATCCCCAACATCCCAAGGCAAGGAAGAATGGAATGAAGGCACGGGGCAGTTATCCATGCATGCTGGTACCACTTCTCTTGGGCTGACCTATCCCATATACTTACAAAGCCATTGCATGCTTTTTCTGACAAATCATTTAATTTTGCTACATAAATTCATGGGAATAAATCTAACATGAACCAAATTAGAGATTTGCTTACATCCTTATGTCTTGTCCTTATGGAGCCCTTCTCATTTTACGTAGCTTATAACAACTGCGAGTGATACCCAAACTGAAAGGGAGAAGGATTTTATTTAATTTTTACAACATCCAGGAACAGTGAGCTTCACAGATCTCCTAGCCTGGAATCTATGAAACAGCCCTCCCTTTTAAATCTTTTCTCCCAAGCTGCATTTATTTGCATTCCTCTATATCAAATTTCACCCTCAGGACTTGAATGGGTGATGGCCATGCCACAGTGCTGCACTTGTACCTGCTCCCTCTCTGCCGCAAACCCGCCACATCAACACCTGCAGCAAACCTCTGCACAACCCAGCAGCAGCGCCGGAACAACTGCGCACCCTTTAGGTACCAGGTGCCCATTATGGTCCATAAATAAGGGTGTGAGGCTGCCTGTAGCCAGTGCATCCCAGAGGATAAAGCACGCACAGCCCGAGCAAGCCCAGCAGGCAGGACGCAGGCAGAAGGAGACTGCTGCTTCTGGTTCCACGCTGCATGCGAGCAAGAGAGAGAGAGAAAGATTTATACCAGCACAAGACGGGTTCACCCTAGGGCCACCCAGGTACCTGCTGGCACCAGTTTGCTTTAGCTTTGCAGAGAGTCCTAATGGTGCCAGCCCCGGCCCTCCTGCAGCAATGGAGGCCCTCACATCCTCCTGGAACAGCTAATTTTAATGTGCATGCTGTGACTACCTGGAAAATATCCTTCCTGCAGCAAGTTTCGGTGGCATCACGTCGTGATTCCCAGTGCTCAAAACCCATACCTACTTATATGAGGTTTGCCTGTCTCAAAGTGGAAGGGAGAGAGGAGAAGGGGAGGGAAAAAACCCCCAAACCTCTCCAGCACTCCCCTCGAGAGAACGTGCTCAGCCGGTCTGATGCCGTGCGATCCTTTCGCAGGCAGAGAGCGAGGAAATCCTCAGATCTTTGCAAGAGCAGCTGCCTGGCAGCAGAGGGAAGCTGCCAAGTGGTGGGTGGTTGGCGTATGTGCTGGGAGAGGGGAAACTCAGAACGCATATTTGTGTTAGCAAAAGTGCTGTAATTCTTCACAGTGTAAGCAAGAGGCTCAGCCCTGCCAATTCTAAGGCTGAGGAAAAAAAAAGCATTAATTGGCACCAGGCCTTTTTTTTTTTCCCCCACTAAGATGCCTTACCTTGGCCCTCTGACTACATTTCGGACCAGAATCAGCCCCATGGATACAAAGCGAACATCGGGAGGGTAAAATCCCGCTACGTGAAGTGGGGCAAATGAACCCACGGTGGGGAGGGAAAGGGCCATTTCTCAGTCCCTCACTGCTCCATCCCCCCTCCCAGGCTGCTGGGGTGGCATCAGCTCTCCTGCTGCTCACTGTCTGTCACTGATCCTCTCCATGGGCCATTGGAAAAGGCATGTGGCCTGCGTGACCGTAAAAATGGCATTACAGTAAAGCATAATTCAGTTTAATGTAACCGAGCACGGTGATGATGAAGCCGCACTGTCACAGATGGACAGAAATCTCCATCCCCCTGTAAATCCCTCAGGGACTGGGTAGAAGGCGACTCTAAATTAAAATCTGGCCCCTGGGGTCTGGTATTGCAAGCTCTCAGGTGAGCTTGCAGGACATCTCTCCAGAATAAATCTCTCTTAAAGTTCCTCAGAGGTGCAGGCCAAGCAGCTGGACCTGCTGCCATTTCAGTAAGAGAGCAGTCCATCCAGACTAGCAATTGGCTCCTGCTGTACATGGAGCGTTTGGAGAAACTGCTAACCCCTTCTTCAGCAATTGCACTACAGCCAACGCAATCTCTGTAATACTGTAAGCACCAAAGAGAGCACAAAGGGACTGACTGTTCATTGTCTCTTCTAAAATAAGACAAAGGTGGCACCAAATGAAAATAGCAGGTGGCAAATTCAAAACAAGGAAAAGAAGGAGACTCCTCCAAGCCATGGAGCTCCTTGCTGCCGTGTTTTGTGGATGACAAATGCTCACCTGAATCAACTGGAAAAATTAACAGAAGAGAAATAAATAGATTTTACTTCTGGCTCTGTAAATCCCTGGGCAACAAGCTGAGTATTGCATCTGGATCAGGGATGTCCAGCACAAGAAAGACATGGACCTCTTGGAGTGGGTCCAGAGAAGGGGCATGAAAACAACCAGAGGGCTGCAACACCTCTCCTGTGAATAAAGGCTGAGAGAGCTGGGGTTGTTCACCCTGGAGAAGAGGAGGCTCTGGGAAGACCTTGTTGCGGCCTTTCAATATATAAAGTGGACTTGTAAGAATGAGAGAGAGAGACTTTTTACTGAAGCTTGTAGTGACAGGACCAGGGGTAGCAGTTTTAAACAAAGAAAGTAGATTTAGATCAGATATAAGGAAGACATTTTTTACTCTGAGGGTGGTGAGGGCCTGGAACAGGTTGCCTAGAGAAGTTGTGGATGCCCCATCATTAGAATTGTTCAAGGTCAAAACAGATGGGGCTTTGAGCAACCTGATCTAATGAAAGATGTCCTTGACCATGACATGTAGGGGTGAAGTAGATGACCTTTAATTATCCATTCTAACCCAGCCCATTCTGTGGTTCTTAAGTTGTTAGAAGCTGAAAGAATATTCAGAGACAGTATCATTACTAACTTTTTTGCCATTCTCCTTCCTGAGCATCCAACCCTGGCCATTGAAAGCGACGCAGTGTGACGCTCATGTCTGCAATCTTTTCCTTGGGTTAGGATGGACACACTGCTTGGCACAGCTAGGAGCCAGCAGATGTGCGATTGTGGGATGTTGAGGATCTGACACTTCCCATAGCTTTGCACGGGATGTTGAGGATCTGACACCTCCTATAGCTTTGCACAATCCTTAGAGGTACTGAGCTCTTGTAACTCCACGAAACTAAAGAGAGAGAGCAGCTGCTTTGCATCACACACAACTAGACCCTTTGCCCAAAAAAGCCAGCCTCAATGTGAGCTTCAGGGAGATGAACAGCAGCCTGTGTGCAGAGGCGCCATTCAGCAGGGAAGAGATCTCCCGTAGGATATCACAGCATACTCTTCTTACTGCACAGACTAACAAGCAGTTGGCTTCCTTCTGATAGTTCGTGGAGCTCAGTTTAATCCTACTCCTGAGTAGTTAAGTTACAGACTTCACTGAGAGCCAAAGTAGTCCATTCCCTTTTCTTTCAGGAGTGCCATCACAGCCCATACCAACAGGAAGCACGAGTAACACACAGCGAGTCTGCATCCCAGCATTTTCCGTTAAATTAACTGTCAGGACTAAACTAAAGGCACAACGTAAGCAGACAGGAACAGAGACCAAAGAACAGCAGCCCCTCTGCTGCAGCTCATTTTCCAATTCAAAGGGCAGATGGGAAGAGCAGCAAGGTAGTTCAACATGAGGAACCTTCAGAGAGGGAAAAAAAACATTCCTACTCTAGATGTGGAGCAATTAAGAAACATTGTGAGGAAACAGTGGAAATCAGAAAAGAAAGGGGGTAACAACAGTAGCATTTCTTTCCCTCCCCCTCCTACGAATCTTTCCTATCCACTCCCCCTTCTCAACGCCCCATCCTTTTCTTGAGAAAGAGCAACACAGGTTTTTTGTCCTCCACTTACCATACACCCAGCCTACGCAGATGACTTCAAAAATGGCCAGGAAGAGCAGGCACGTGCCACTGGCAGCGTAGTAGTCAAAGAGCTGGAAGATGTACATCCCACCCTGTTGAAGAGGTAGAGAAGAGAGTCGTGGCAGGGCTATTCCATGTGAGGGAAAAATGACTGAGGCAAACGGGCAAATAGCAGCAAAAACACTTGCACCTAGAGCAAGGGGGGAGGAGAAGAGCCTTCTCTTGGGGCTGCCCCCACTCTGTCCCAAAAAGGCAGTCAGGCCTGGTGGCAGAAGAGCATTTCATGCCCGTTTTATGACACTGCTGGGCTAGGCTGGTTTCTGTGTCCATAGGAACAGAAGTCAGTTTGCTCATTTTAAATCAGTTAGCAAGTTTCCAAGCATTATTTCAAAATACCACGTGGCAGTGCAGAACTTCACATCCAAGAACTGGGGATCCTGAGGACATCTCAATTTAGCTGCATCCATCTTTACACATTGCTCAAGGTTCAAGCGCTGCAATGACAGAGGCATGTGGCTTCCCCGCTGCCTCTGCCTTCGAGCTGAGCCCTGCACAGTTGCCACCAGCTTCCTCTACAGGTCAGTGGATGACTCCGCTCTCATACCTTCAGGTGTTGTCTCAAAGAGAAAGCCCCTCCAACACAAGTCAAGCAGATGCTTTCAAATAGCGCTGAAGGGCTCTAGCCACTGTCAGAGCAGCAGAGCAGTTACGCCTTCATCCCACCACGTGTGAGGTGACATCCTGCAGCGATGGGCACAGGTGCCTCCATGCAAGGGGGCATGCAAAAGCCATGGGAACTCTTAACGCAGCGTCACTCAAAGCTCTCCTGATCTCAGCAGGAGATGCCTTCAGCAAATCCTTAGCCAGGATCCTGTTGGAGGATCATTCAGCAGTGCCTAAGAGGTTTAGCAGGAATTAGCTGTCGCTACACAGCACATGGAGCCAGCACAGAGGAGTGCTAAGACCCCTGCCCACGCATGCAGGGGCATGCATGCACAGCACAGCACACCACCCTGTAGGAAGAGGTGCTTGGCTATTACCTGCAGAGCACCGTGAGCATAGCATCGCACTGACACAGCTCTGCTGCTTCTGGTCCCAGGGATCACACACTCCCCGCTGGTTCAGGCAGGGGTACAGTGCAGCCCTTACACCTCAGCCTTCCCTCCTACTACTCTGCTCCTTGGGGAAAGCAGCCAACAAATGATTGCTGCCCTTAGAATTGCTCCTGCTTGTGCAGTTCAGCCTGGTTTTGCCACAAGGCTAAAACATTTGCCCAAAGCTGCATGTCAAGCGGCCTCTCTGGGCTGCAGGACCATCTCTCTGGAAGGCTGAGCTATGCAGTGAGTACATTAGCATCATGTAGGGTAAAAACAGCACTGGCTATGAAAGACACCAGATAATGCATTAGAAATGAAGGGTAATTAACAGCATCAAAAACGAGCTTGCTGTCTCTACCCGCTCCTCCAGAGCAGTCTAGTGGGGTTTCTGGTGCTCGGCTGTACCCCAGCTGCTGCTTTCTTACCTCAGTGACCAGCAATAAGCCCAGCAGGTAGCATATGACTGCAATGGCCAGGATCAGCAGCTCCCGACGCCCCTTCTTCCGAAACACTTCCGGAAACATGTCAATAAGAGCTGTCACCATGCTTTCTACACAGACGAACTGCAGAAGATGACAGGTTAAAAATAACAGTGTTTCCCCTTCCTCAAGAACACACTACTTCTCACTGTCCTTTTTTTCCTCTAGCCACCCAAATCATTATATTCTTGTTTTCTCTATTTGCCTGTCTTGCTTCCACCAAGGGCCAGCTGCAACTGCAAGGGACCCAAACACAGCTCGGTATGTCAGTGAGGTCTCCTCTGGAGCTGCAGACTGAAGGGGTTAAAAGTACAGGCCCATGTTGGGATGAGATGTCCAAGAAATTGCCTCAAGCCCAAGAGCACATTTGCAGGAATGACCAAGGGGTGGAGAGGCAAGAGGCAGACTGCGACCCTCGAGCAGGGAGAGGAAACACTGAGATGGCACAAGGAACCCTTGTGACAGAGGGGAGCTCCCCCTTCCATAATGAAGCTAAGGGGAGCCAGGGGACTGTGGGGGCACAGCTCAGCCCTAACGTCAAGCAGTGTATTTTTTTGGAATGGCTGCAAAATATGCCACGACTGCCTGGGACAGCCCAGTAGAGCAGGTGCCCAGGGGTCCCACAGGTGAATCATTGGCTTTTGGGGCTGATCATGGGGCAGGACACTTGCTCATCACCACGTGGCTCTTGGTCCCATAGGGCACATCACCCATGGGGTACATAAGAGAACATCAGTCACTGCTAGGACAGCCCAGCCAGCGTGAAGTGGAGCCATAAGCAAGATGGGGCAGGAGGGGACCTCGACCCAGAGAAAAAGGGACAAGACCTTGTTTTCCAGGTGCAGGGGCTGAGGTGCTGCAAAGCGGAGCCTGAGCAGGACAGCCTGCCTAGCAGCCATGCCAGGACATGCCCTGCTCCCCTCATGCCAGCACACAAGGGTTGCCCGCTGCGCTCCACAGGATGCTCTGCTGCGTTTTGCTCCTGGCATAACAGGGTTATGGGAGGGTAGGAGATGGGCACACCGGCAAGGAGAGCACAAAGGGATTGCTCTGGTGAGATGCAGCTGGGAGAAAACAGCCCTGTTCCCCTTCCCCAGATGCCCTGCTCTGTGCCGGGCCTCACCGCAGTGAGCACAGTTGCAGTTCTGGCACAGAGGTGGGAGGGGATGGAGCTGGGACACCTTCTCTGCACACAGAGGGAAAAATGCCAAACAGAGATGCCAGCACACATAACCACTAGCCTCTCATCAGCCCTGGCTCTGAGCTCCCACAGTGTGAAAGTGCTGCGGACAATGTATTTGAGGTACCAGCAAAGCACCCAACGCCCTTATTCCTTTCCCATGGCCTTGGGGGAGCACTGACGGTGGACAGGCACCTGGATGTTAGATGAGGAGGGGGCGTTTGCTGTACCTGGCTGTCCAGTCCCAAGAAGATCAGCATGAGGAAGAAGAGGCAGGACCAGAGCTGAGACACAGGCATCATCGTTACTGCCGTTGGATATGCTATGAAAGCCAGGCCAGGACCTGCCAATAGACCACAAGATGACCACATGTGCCCCACACACTACCACCTATCACAGACACCCATAGCGATAGAGGATGTAGGTAACATCCTGGGCTTCTTTTCAGAAAGGTTCCCTCTCATTCAGGCTTTCTGTTTTGCCTTGGCTCTGAAGTCTCCCAAAAAAACCTACCTGATTCAGCCACTTCTGCAATGGGTACACCCTGCTCTCGAGCCATGAAGCCCAGCACAGAGAAAATGGCAAAGCCAGCAACGAAGCTGGTGGCACTGTTCAGGAAGCAGAGCATGATGCAGTCCCTGCAGGGGGAGCAAACAGAGAAATCAGTGTTTCCCACTGCAGAATGGGTCCATCTGGGGTCACGTCTGTACTCTGCTTCCCCAGTGGAACAGCATGGCCCAAGTAACAGCAATGCTACTCTTAAACTCTCTCAGAAGTAAAAAAGCTCATAACTGAGCCAAAAATCTGCCTACCCACCTTGTACCCCACTGTTCAAGAGTTACAAGACTGTATGTGGCACAGAGACACAGGGAACCACCAGTGGCTTGTGAATAGGATGCCACAATGATACATGTAGGGACACGGCAACAAAAAAGTGGACCGGAGTCGAAAGAATAAGAAAAACAACAGAGAAAATGAGGAAAACGGCAAATTAGAAAAGGGAAGAGGTTGCAAAAGTAAACATAGTCAAGAAAGCGGAGCATCTGAAAGCACAAACATGTACATCAGATCTGGTAAAACAAGGACTAATGGGTTAACAAAAATCCCCCTGACAAGAGTTCTGCCTACACTGTCTTTATTAATTATACTCAAATGGAGTCTGGAGTGAGCTCTGCCACTTGTCCTGAAACGTTTGTGCACTTGCTGTCTGCAAAAACGGAGCAACCGTCTGGGGTGTCTGGGCTGGAAACCCCACACCCCGGGATCCTGCCTGGGCAGCTGCTCTGGGGCAGCGTGGACACCTTGCACATTTGGGGCACCCGGACCTAAGCTGCCAGTCCAAGGTACCTAAGGCATTAGAGGAAGGTGTCAGCACACAGCTCCATTGGTGGCAGACACATTTCGGGAGAACCAGGGAAAAGTATTAATTGCCTGACCAACAGCCGTGGCAGCACCTATTTGAGAACAGAAGAAGAGGAGAGATGATTGATGTCTCTAGAGTACAATTACATTTTCCCATCCATGCCAGAGCCATACATGAAGGAATAACAAAGCCCCCGCTCCTCACTGCTCTGTGGAAAGTGTCAGAAATGGTCTTGATGGCTTCACTAGCTTCATGTCAGGCCACAGATAAAATAGACCTGTAATCCAAGGGCAAGGAGGAGGCAAGACAGACTTGATTAATCTCCTTGATAGGATGAAAATGCCGCTGGCAGTACATCACCCTGATGGCAGTAAAGCACTGGAGACAGGGGGCCCAACCATCATCTCCGTACCATCTCCCCTGCCTAGCAAGTGACAGCAGAGCTGGCTGTGCCACCCTTGCTCACTCACCCTGCCAAAATAGCCCGTGGTGTCTCCACAGCGGCTGGAGACGCTCTCCCTTTTCATTCTTCCCCCCTCCTCCAATCTCTCCTGTTTCCAAGCTCAGGCGGAAGAGCACTACTAAAGTCATTTTCTGTAGTTCCTGTGTTCCCTCAGCCACTCTCCATCCCTACACAGAGCCCTCTGCAGCTTCCACACCCTGAGCGGCTCAACAGTCAAAGCAGGGTGACCCAAGGCCTCGCCCTGGGGACAGAGCCTGCCCCACATGCAGCTCTGCGCTGTTCGTCTCCAAGAAAATTTCCAGAAGGATGCAATGAGTCCAGGCTCCTCTTACCTGTAACAGTTGTTGGTATACTTGTTGTAGCTGCCCAGAGCAGTCAGGCACCCCTGGCAGATGGCGTAAGAGAAGAGGATCTGAGTGCCTGCATCCATCCAGACCTGGAAAAGAGATGGTCAGTGGTCTCCAGACCCGGCAACAAAATAAGCAAATGGCTGTGCCCTGTCTAGCAACAACCCCTCCATCCATGCAGAACAAACTGTATGAGACAGAGAGAGGCTCATTCAATGCTGAAACTGGGATACCTCTCTGGGGAAACTGAGCTACAGGATGGAAAATCCTCTAGGAAAGGCTCTGAGGGGACTGTATTTTCACATCCCACTCTAAGTGACACGGGGCACTGATTGGTGCCTGACACTACTCCTCCATACCAGTGCCTGACACTGCTCCAGGTGAGGACAGCATCCCTGATAATTCGCATTGCAGGCATCTGTGCTCCCTGTGTGGCTCAGGGTTCACAAAGCCACTGGTGAGTCGTCCTAAGAGAGGGACAGTGAGTCCTTTGCATGATCCATGTACTCCCCTCCACGCTCCCAAATCCGGTTTCCTGCATCTCTGAAGTCACGGTGCAGGGTGAAAGTGGGAAAATTGAGAGTCTGAGAGATATCAGGCTGGTGGGCTGTCATGGACCCAGGTTCTCCTTTTCTCTGGCATTGAATGGGAAAAGCTGCTCCAGCTCTCTGCCCCGTCCCTTGTTCCCTCGCTGTGTTGTGGGCTGACCCGCAGTATTACTCTCACACCTCCCCAGGGGAAGGAAGCCATGAGCTGTGGGTTAGCAGGCAGGCAAACAGCCCCCCTTTTTGTTTGCATGTTCCCTCTCACTCTCTTTTGCCTCTAAGCAGCCCCCAGCTGCAAACACCCAGGCAGCTGCGATTTGGCAGCCTTCAAAAAATCCCAGCCCAGGCACTGCTGCTTAAATTCACGCTCTTGCAGATAGACACGGACACGGGAGCCCTTCAGGCACAGGCACGCATCCCGCTTTACACCAAACCCCCACGTTCTGCCTAAATTCCGTAGCAGGATCTCTCGCTCCTGCTACGCTGGGTTGCGGCAGCCTGGAAAGGCCGTGTCAGCTGTAGTTAGGCTGTGAAAGACAGGGATGCTTTCAACGCATAAGCCCTGACCATGAATAAAGCGCACTCGGCCCCCATCGCCCCCCCTCGGTTATTTATTTTGATATTAAAATGCCATTTACGTTCAGCTGGCTCTTCACGCTCAGCGCACCACAGATTTTGTATTGACAACACATAATTGCATCTGAAAGCCGTTTGGGGGAAGACAGCGTGCTTGGCAGCTGGTTTGGGAGCAGTTGGGGCTTTGGCCATCTGGGAAGATGCGGGAGGTAAGCTGAGACTGTGGGCTAAGCGTGTTGCTTGGCTGCCTCCCTGAAAAGATTCAGCGGTGGAGTAATTAGCAGCAGTGTCAATTAAATGGTCTTTGGGGGGGGGGAGGGTGTCTGCACTAGCACCCCCTGGGATGGCAGAGATGCCTGCACAGCCTTGCTGAGCCCATGTGGGGAAGGTCAGCGAGCTGCTGCTATAGAAAGGTGCCCAACACTCCCCCCACCCCAAGACACCCCAGGGGGATCCTCCAAGGGAGGATACCCTGCACAACCTCCAAGGGTGCTGCCCACCTCCTGCTAACTTGGGCTACCCTGCGGGCCCTGGGTTTGGCTGCACTCCATGCTCTAATTCAGACTTGCCCTCCCTGGGTACGCAGCATCCCCCTTGCCAGGGAGGTTTCCATGAGTGGTGTGATGTGGTCCCTTTGGCCAGCCCCTGACCTCAGCGAGTGGGACCAGCCCCCGAGATGGGTGAAGGGAACCTGCTGCACAGCCCCAGATACCTGCATGCCTTCAGCCTCCGCAAGCACAGGGGTCCTGCGCTCCATGGGGGGGACCCTGCTGGAGCCAAAATGCTAACCAAGCCAGAAAAAAAAGAAAAGCGGTAGATTATTCCCCCCCAGCACCCCCTTCCTTAATTATTTGCATTTAAGACCCAGCAAAACCATCTGTTACATGCTGAATATTTCATATACTTTTCTCCTTTTCCTGAGCCCATGAGTGGAAATGACCTAATACGCTGCAGGCGCATGAGCGAAAAGGCTGTGCTGTGCAGGGGGCCTAGACCCCTCTCGGCTCTTTTCAGGAGGTCCCACTGGTTCGCCAGTCTCCTTACAGAGACAGCTAGATCCTCAGTTCACAGATCCGAGGGCCAGGGAGCTGGAAAACTTCCCATGGCCATCACATGCCTGACTCCCACCCACCTGCGGGTCTGCCAGCCTGGAAATGTCCGGCTTGAGGTAGAAGAGGATCCCCTCGGCAGCACCAGGCAGCGTGACGCCTCGCACCAGCAGGATGATAAGCATCGCGTAGGGGAAGGTGGCGGTGAAGTAAACAACCTGCGGGAGCCCAGAGGAGAGAGGGTCAGCAGGGAGGGGGTGCAGGCATCACCTCAACCGCAGGCCCCCACCTTGATCAACGTCCCTGCACTCAGTTTGTTGGGTATAGCTGCTACTGCTAGCACAGGTGAGGGGTGGGACAGAAATCAATCAAGGTTACATCTCACCAGTGGTTTAGTTAATCTACATTTTGTTCCTCACCCGAGACTCTGCCACTGGTTGCTCTGCTTCATTTTCCCTTTCCAGTCAGTGTAATTTCCCTTCTCTCCAGCTGGTCTCTTCATCTTTCTAGAGCTGCAGAAGAAACCCAGATCTCTTCCTGTCACCGAGTTTTAATGAGGAGTTATTAAAATGGTCCTATTCCCAGCAGGAGTCTTCCAAAGTAAATAGCAACTTCTGTTGCCCAATTTGAGACACCTCTGAGGGGTCTCATTTCCAGGGGCGCTCATGTGGCTCTCTCACCCTTTCAGTGCTCACAGGTGAAAAATGGGGGCACCTCAAAGCCTTTAAAGACAATGCAGACCCTCATTTTTGTAAAACCTTCTTTCCACCTCTTCTTATGATGTAAATAAATACTACTGTAGAATTAATCACCCCTAATCCATTGCCTAATGTAAATTTTTTTTCTATTTGCAAAATATCTGCGAGCAAGACGCGACTTCCAAACATTTAGTCATTATTAAAATTCATACAATTCATACGCAAGTAATGTGAAGGCTTGCTTACTCTACAGATTCATAGTGAGGGGCCTAAGATGACATTTTTTCTGCTTAGTGATAATTGGTCGAATAAGTCACAGTATGTGGTGCTTCTGCTGTTCCCTGATTGAATGAGAATGCGAGTGTTTTTGGCACAAGTACTAAAATCTACCTTCAGAAATCACTTCTGGGGAACATTTATACACATCAGCTGAATGCATAAGGAAAGGAAACATGGGAAGAGCACAAGAGTGGGCAAAATGAATAAAAGAAAAAGGCTTTTAAGGAAAATGAGTCTTCACAGTGTTATTTGAAATTATTTTCCCGAGGTTGCTATTGTTTCTTGAAGTTTGGACTCCTTAAATCACAGAAGCATAAACATAAGGGTCTGGCAAGGTTATCCGATTAGAACAGCCTCTCAGTCAAGCACAACATCCTGTTTACTCTGCAGCTCTTGAACAAAATTATGCATCTACTCAGAATTCCTGGGACCTCCCTACTGCTTATCCTGACACGTAGTCAGTGAGGAAAAAGAAGGAAGGAGCTGATTTTTTGGACAGTGCCCCTGTAAAACTCAAAACTACTCCCTGCAGAGAAGACAGCTGGCTTGTCTGACCTGTGGTATGTCCCAGGACAGAAAAACCCACCCTGTATTGCTGCACCACGTCCATAACATCTGGCTGGAAAAAGTAAGCCCCATATCCCAAAGTGTGTGATGGAAAAATCCACTGTGGTCCCCGGAAAACCATTCCAGCTACTACGTTCACTCGCTGTTTCCCCTCACTTTCTGATCTGACCTTGCCAAACCCGATCAGCCCAACGAGCCGGACTGAACTGGTGTAGCTTTCTCTTTGTGCAGGCGAGCTCTGCATGCTGGGGCAGCACCAGGCAAAGGAGAGACTTGGTGGGGAGGGCTGAGCACTGAAGGGAATCTGTGATGACTTAATTACACTTCCATGCAGATCAAACAACCCCTCAGACCCAGTCTCCCAAGGTCAGAATGGTACCTCTTGTGAAGATGGCACTGTGGTAGTCAAACCAGTGAGCATCAGAGATTTCAGATTTAAAATGCAGAGCATCCCCTCTCCCCGTAGATGTGGAGTCTGGAACTCCCTCCTTGAGAAATGGTGGACCAGCAAGAGCCAGAGCCATCAGCAGAGAATGGGAGAAACCTAGTAAGCAGAGCAAGCTACGGTCTTGCTCTGTTAAAATGGGTGCCCAGTGCCATTTTAAGGTGGGAGATGGGATTTGACACTGAAATGTGGATGTCCAGTACTACAGGGAACATCTGCCAATACTAGGGGTAGTGATTTGATGGAAGAGGTCTGTTGCAGACATTGGGCACCCTCACTTTGCTACTGGGCCATTCCCTGGGTGCCCACAAGACCCAACCATCATTAATGGCCCACACATCTCTTTGCAGCTCCAGGAGGGAAGGAGGTCCTGAACAAGTCAAGGCCATAGCAGTGTCCCTAACACCCACCCACCCAAAGGTATCACACATTCATTCACTCCAGGATAACCAGCCCACCTGACCTATGGGATCAGTATCAGGAGGGAGCACAGGCTCACTGGCAAACTGCAGAAAGTCACCCGCTGAGCCCAAAACCATAGAGCCAGGGAGAGTACAAAGGAGAGCACAAAGACACCTCTGCCACACCAAATACTTTGCAGGATAAAGAAGCAGGAAAGATTCATTATCTCTTCACTGGGCTGATTACAGGCAGAAGCTTATCTATTCTGCTCAAGTGTGTAATTATTGCCTGGGATAGGAAGCTTGCCACTGCAGAGGATCTTGTTAAAAACACCAGCAAGCCACACCAGGACAACACATCGGTGAATGGATGATTCCCAAGGTCTTCCCTATTCTCCCCTCCATGTTTGACCTACTCCTGTCTTCTTCCTCTCATGGGTGAAACACAACCAATATAAATCAGTGTGGCCCCACCAGGTTTTAGGTTTGCCCGTGGTGCTATGTGTCTCTCGTCTCTACTTCATGAAGAGAGAGAAGAGATTGGGGAAGAAGTGTAAGATGGGTACAAAGAGGTTTATGGACTAGGAAGACAATCTCCATTCCTACTTTGCCAGTGGACTTGACCCCTTTCCAGATGCAGAAGTAGCAGATGATCCACGCCAGCAGGAGACACAGAGCCAGCTCCCAGCGCACAGTGCCCAGATTGTGAATTCCATCCGTGAGTCCCAGGACTCGATTCCTGCCAGTGTCCAGGGACAAGGAGAGAAGAATTAACACCCCACACCTCACTCATCCATACAGACCTTTCCCATATTACCCAATCTAAAGACTTAACGGACCATCTGCAACAAATCTGCCTAGGGCTCCCCTCTCTGTCGTTCCTGCTCATGCTGTTCCATTGTGTTCTGCAGCTGGTCTCCAAGCCCATCACACCATGCCCGTCAGACCCATGCAACACAAAACCTACTCCCCCACCCCACTGCTCCCCCACCCTGACAGCTGCCCAGCAGACACTACTCTATCCAAAGCAGACCACCAACGCCACCATCACCCTATGGCCCCATATGCTATGGACACCCTATATATAAGCATAAATGGCCTTTATGATTTCCAAGCCCTTCCTTCAGTCTCATTCCTTGGAGGAATCATGAAGGGGGGCCACCATCATGAAAATGGACCACACGAGAGCTCAGGACGGCAGCTCACATAGTCCCCAGAAGCCCAACCCTGCACTTAACGATTCCTCTGCACATCTTTCTCCAAACCACTCCCCTCAGGGTCCCCTTGCCCTGGTAAAGTCTGCAGAAAACCTGAGCAATCATTTCGGAGGGGTCAGAGCTCTCGCTAATTAGTATGTGCGAAGAACAGGGCAGGAGGGAGGGGCCAGCACTGTGCAGACTCTTCATGTACCCACGGGCGCATGTCATTTTCTATGTTGTCTGTGATGGCTGCAAGGGATAAAGGACACCCAACACTCTCAGGGGAACTTTAGGAGCCATAAGTGAGGAAAAAAAAATATTGCTGAAGCTGAGCTGCCGGCACCCCTCTTTGAGACCTTCCACAGTTGGGTGTGGAGAGGTAGTGTGGCCCTGGCAGCCATTTCAACCCCTCCAGGCTGCAGAGATGACCCTCCTCTCTGGGACAGTCTGGCCTGCTGCAGGACCCCTCCTTCAGAGGTGTTTTATTGCCTCCAGCCCCATGACCAAAGCTCCCTGAGCCCCTCTCTGACACCTCACGCATGTGTCTCAGATCTCCAGGGATGAGCCTGGGCAGCCTGATGGACCACTCCCCTTGCGCACCAAGCAAGACATGGCCAGAAAAAGGGAAAAGGCGGTTTTGTCCCTTTCTGTTTCACTGTAGAGGACTGCTCTGTCTGCCCTGGCCTCCCATGCTTGCCTGCTAAGGGTACCCTGAAACACCCAACACAAGGGCTCCCAAGCTCTCATCTCCTTTTGGTGCCTCTTTCTGGGGCTACAGTCACCCAGACACCTCTGTGCCAGAAAGGGTACGTGTCTGTGTGTGCATACACTAGCCCCCTTGGGCGAGCACGTCCGCGATTTATCTAGTCCTCCTGCTGCTGGGCTGTGTGCCGATCTCCTTGGCAGCCAGGTGCATCCTGCTCCCCGCGTTCGGGTCCAACACGTGGCACCTCACTTGGTCCTACCGGGGTACACAGCCCACCACCTGGGTGCTCCTACAGCTGCAGCCTTTGGATGAGGGAGGAGCCTGAACAGAGAGAAAGCCATCACGTACTCCCAAAACTCAATCATTGGGGAGGTGGCGTTCGCAGGCAAGGTCCTGTTGTCCAGGCTGGAGATATTCAGAATGTCCACACAGAGATCTACCAAAAGAAAAGGAAGCTGCTGAGCCAGAGAAATTCTCCAAGGCTCCTCCATGAGGGATGCTACTTCCCCTCTGTACCCTAATCCTCACTCTGGCAGCACATAGACCTTTCACCCCATGCTACAGAGCATCACATTAAACTCTTGCATCTCATTAAGTATCTCTTTAAACTCTGGCTCTCCCCAGCTATGAATCCCAATCCAGCAGTAGCCAGAGGGCTTTGGGAAGGGGAGAAAGAAAGGAGGAAGCAATTCCCTGCCAAAAGGAAACCCAATGGCTGCAAAATATAGCTTATTGAGGGGTAGCCACTATGAGTAGCTGGGATAGAAAATCCCATTGTCCTCTCACACCACACACCATTCCCTGTCCTCACATGCCTATGTTCACACACACCACAGGTGCCTTCGTGTTCCACTCTGCCATCCCCAACCCTGTCACGTAGCGTGAAATTACTAAAATCAGAGGAGATGCCATGCATCCAAGAAAAGTCCCCGTCTTGCATTTGGCAAGCAAAAGACAATCCACTGGAAACCCAAGGAAGCCAAGCTCTTGCTGGGAACCTTCTGCCTGTTAAGGGAACATCTGTGGCTTTCCTTGCAAACAAACCCATGCTGGGGGAGCTGAAGGAATCAGATCAACTGTTTAAAAGTCTGGTTACCTCTGCTGGGATGAAGGGGCAGAGGAAACTGTGAGTGAATGGCCCATGGGGTGGAGAAATTTAACACATCACAGAAATGAATCATCTGACCCAAGGGACAAAGGAAAGGAACCAAGCTGCTGCCAAAGCTCTTTTCAGCCTGGCTTTCCAATGAAAGCAAAACAACCGTTCAACATGGTACAAAAGGCTGTCAAGGACATCGGATCCATGAGGATTACCTCACATCTACCCCATCTTTCCAGGCACAGTGCAAGTGCCTTGAATAAACCCAAAGCCAGGTCTTCTCTGCTAGGCAGTTATGTGAACAGTGGGCATGAGGAGATGAAATCTCTGGCCAATGTAGTGGTATAGGGGCTTGTATGGATGTGATTAGACCAGAAAAACACTGCCTTTAGAGTCTTGTGTTACTGGTTCCTGCACTGGGAGACCTGTACTGGCAAAATCCTCCTGTGCAGAATTGGCCTGATCTAGCCAAAAGCTGAGAGCACAAAGGATACTGTTCATCAGGGCAGCAACTGTCCCAGTAACTCCAAAGGAGCAGGATAGAGTAAGGGAACTGTAAGATCAATTGTTGTACCAGAGCTAATGAAAAGCTCCTGACATGTGAGGAGGATTCTAGATTGGCTTGAAAACTCTCCCAACCCACCTACCTCTCCCGCTTGCCAGAAAATGCAGATTTTTCAGTGAAATCTCAACGCTCAGAACATCTCCATGAGGAAATAGTTTACCGTCCCCTGCTGCTAAGCACAGGGCCATGCCACTCACGCTTCCTGACACTTGCCCCTGGCAAATGAAGACATTCACCTTTGCAGGAGTCCCTAACCACGCTGCAGCTCCCGAGAGCTTTTTATCGGAATAAAAAAATATTTTCTGCAAAACCCAAATAATTTCTTTGATTCTATGATTTGGGAAGGATCAAGAAGCTGACCAAGTGAAGGTGTACCTGAGTTCCAGGGGTTATTGCAGCTGGCCCAAGGTAGCACTGCAGTGAAGGAGCTGAACAGGTAGAAGAGTGCCCAGGACAGGATGATGATGTAGTAGATATTCAGATAGCATTCAATGACTTGTGAGGCATATCCAATTCCTGTGAAGGAAAACAAAGGAGCTGAGGATGGGGCTGTCAACCAACTTCCAACACATGGGTTTTAGCACCATGCAAAGTCATAGGCCATGCCATGGTAAGAAGGGTGCAACACCAACCACACGGCTCACTAGAGAACAGGACAAGACCTACCTCAGGGCAAGAGAAAGGATTTTGTGACTGTGCATGCAGACAGGAAACGTTATTGGTATCTCTAGACAGGTCTATGGTGGAACAGAGAAAACTTTTTGCCGATAGGAAAACCTTCTTCTGCCCACTACCACACCCCTGCATTACACTGCCTCTCCTGCAGGAGAGCCAGTTCTAGCCTTTAAAGAAAAATGCAGGTGAGTTTCTTCCTTCTGGAAAAACTTGGGCAAAACAGGTTCTCACAACTGATACACATCATACATAAAGTCGGGTGCTGGGGCAAAAGTGCAGACGTAGGAACTCAGCTCTGGCCTTGGGTGCTGCTTGTGCCCATCACTCACTGAGACATCAGAATGGTAATGGGGTCAGAAAGGCCCCGTTCAATGGTTTAAAATGTTGCCAGTGCCCTTTGAGATGCCACTGCTGCCTACCTCCAGGCCCCAGAGCACAGGGGACTCCAGCACAGGAGGTCCTGGACTCCCCAAGCAGTTTCATATAGCACTGCAAACTAACCAGGTCTTTGATCTGCCTGAGTACAGGTTTGTGTGTTCACAAAATGTGGGTAATAAGCTCCCATCTGGACAGGAGAGTTGTGGACGTGGGATTTATTAAAATAATAATGCCATTAAACAACCTTCTCCAGGGCCCTGGGTGTCCTGGTTCTTATTCTCGTGCCTTGAGCATCACCCCAGCCTATCTCTGGGCTGTCAGGCTGGCGCACGCAGTGCGATCCCCTTCAGTTTGCAGGACACCAATCTGCAAATGCCTCCAGAGCATCCCTGAGCACCACAGCGGGCAGGGAAAGCTCCATAAGGCAACCAGCCTCTTCTCTCTTCAGTATTTGTCCTGGACTATATGTGGGTGTTTGTGTATTAACACTTCCATCCTCCTCCTCCTGCTTGCTGGCCATCCTGCTTTCCCCTCTCTCCTGGGCTCTGAGCATCTCAAAGCAGAGACCATGGACCAGAACAGCCCCCAGCCAGCACCTCATGCCCTCACTCACCTACATGGGGATGGGGCAGGGTGCTGGGGCACTGTCCCCGCACACACTGCAGTCACCAGGAGAGATAACAAGGCTGGGAGAGAATAAAAGGGAGGGAGAATAAAGAAGAAAGGAAAAAACATAACATTTCCAAAAAAGACTCTGAGTCACTGATTGTGCTGCCAGCGATTCCCAAGTCTTCACTCACCTTCAAAGAGGGGACAGATCTTCCTCCAGGCTGTCACCCCTCCCTGGCTGGTGTACTGCCCCAGCGCCGTCTCCAGGAAGAACAGGGGGATACCACAGGTGAAGAGGAAGATGAGGTAAGGGATGAGGAAAGCTCCTGCAGAGAGAGGCAAGATGCTTCCTCAGGAACATCTTTAAAACCTTACCCTCAGCACCCCTTGCCAGGTTAGCTGGGGCCAAAGCTGGAATCAGCTAGATAAACACCGACATTTCTCTGAAAAAAACATACTACTGCAGTACTTCTGAGTTTGGCCTTGGCCAAAACCTAGAGGTAAGGAGTAGCCAGGAAAGGGGGAAAAGAAAAGATGACAGCGCTGGAGTAGTTCTGCCTGCTCCACTCTCCTGACCTCGTTTTTTTTTCAGCAGGAGTCAGGCAAAGCAAAAGGAGTCCTTGTTTCACATAACGGCATTTGTTCTGCCTTTCCCGGGAGTCACAGCAAAACTCCCACTTGCCCGGAGGATACAAACCTGGAGGCTGGACATGTTTCTTGCTAAGTAACACATTTGCTGGGATATAGATTTGCTTGAGACATATTTCACACCGAATCTGAAAAGCAGTTTGCACTAAAAGAGCAGAAGTAGGGGAAGGAGTATCTTTCCAGCATTTTCAAAATTGAAAAGTTTAACTTCTCTCTTCAAAATTTTTCTTATTAAAATATAATGAAATGTCTTAAGAAAAATCAGCCTGAAATAGCCCTCAGATTAACCTTGATGAAATGGAAGAGGAAGGAAAGGTAAAGTTTTTTCCCAGAAACAAGGACCAACAAAACCAATCCATCAGAAAAGACAAACAACAACAAAAAAGGGTTTATGGACCGTTCAGACATCTGAACATTTTTTTTTCTTCTTTTTAGTTCTGCTGCCAAACCAAAACACCCAATACTCTCATTGTTCTGCTCAAAACTGCTCCTGAGACCTCAGTCTCTCTCCTGACCTTCCTCTTATCATTTCATAGTCTTTTTCCCCATCATTAGCCCAGGTTTTCACACCTTTGCTCCCCTCCAGGCAGCCCAAGGTAACTGCCTTCCTCAGTGGAAGAGATGTTGAGGTGTTGCCATCCCACCCAGTAAACTTTTGGTCATGAATGCCAAACTTTTGGTCATGAGTGCCACGAGGGGTCATGAGAGCCAGTGCCCGGCGTGCGTCTCGACTGTCCGCAACCAAGATGAGGGCCCCTTTCCCACTGAGCCAGACCTCGACCCCCAGCCCTGTCAGCAAAGTCACTCGCACTGAGATTCCTTCCCATGACAACGAGCAACCAGGATCAATTCCTCTTGTTTTTAAGCCCACAGTGTTACAATAACAAGGAACATCCAGATTTCCCCAAACACAGCTGTGCGATAGCTGCAGGGGACCTGGGGCCAGAGGAGGGAGGCTGGTTCACAGCATCCGTCCAGGTTTGCAGAGCCAAGAATGGGAACTGCACATGCTGAACTAGGGCAGCTGCTGCTTTCGGTGCTGCAGGACATCTGTCTGTATGCCAACTCTGCAGACAGCTTCATTACCCTGCACACAGATGAGCCTTTCTGCAGGTCCCAGACCCTCTCTTCTGAGATCACTTGTCCCAGAGATTGATCCATTTTGGACACCGAGTAACAAGGGCTTTCTCGCACCTCTATTGTCTTGCCTCTCTTAACCTTCCTGGAGCAGTTACCAGCTAAAACTCCAGTTGTGATCTCCCCAGACTCCTGTCCCACTGGAGAAGACTCAGCCCCGAGAGGGGCCCCCAGAAACAGACCCTCCTTCCTGACAAGACAGTAACAAGTTCAGGATGCTGAGCAATTAGATGAGATTTGAAAGTGTGACCACAGATGTGCTTACATTCTGCTGCTTTACAGCAGGTTAGCACGATCATCTGTCTACAGCTTTATACGCATCTCACTGTATTTGAAGTTGGAGAAGAGTTTGGGTCAGATCAAATCCTCTAGTTCGGGTCGCAGAGTGGGAAGGGGCATTTATAGGTGTACATTTTTTTTTAATTTCAAGGACTCTTCCAGTGGTGAGAATATCTTCGAGTGTCATGGGAAAGACAGTGCCTTATCCCATACTAGTTTGTTAGCCACCTGGTTCCCCAGAGCAATGTACCTTCTACAGCAGCAGCATACTTTCTGCAACAGCATTGTGTGAGCTGCGAGGGAAGGACTCTCCCATCCTAATCTTTCCCAAACCTAGCCGCCTTGTCCTCTGAATCACAGCCTTAGATATTCCAGAGTAGTTTAATTAAAAAAAAAAAAAAAATAAAGTTATTCAATAGATATCTAAATTGAACAAAAGTAGCCTTTTCACTTACACTAATTAGCATACAAATTGCAAGGACTACTAAACCAGATACCATAGACATAAACTATGCAAAGATATCAGCTGAGCTCTGGAAGGAATTTTCCATGCAAATAACATGACTTCTCTCTCAGTCTCACTGCAGAATGGGCTTTTCAATCAGATGCATCACTAGTGTTTATTAACCATCAAAACCTCAGAGGAGACCGGAAGATCTGCTAAAATCCATCGTAGGTTCAAGAAAAGCTCCTTCCATTTTCTTTAACCATCATCTTATCCAACCCCTATTTGGTTCAAAGGAGACATTGTATTGACTCCTGCTCATTTGGATGAACCCCAGTAACAGGAATTTGGTAGGCCTGGGATGAACAGCAGCTGAATCGCTCATCCATCAGTGACAGCTCACAGCATCTTGGGAAAGAAAGCCCTTGTGGCATGGTCTGCAGAGAAAGGAAGTTTAAAGCGGGGGGAATGTGCAAGCCCCAAAGCATTATTTCAAGGTGTCTCTAGAGAACAAGAACAAAAGAGAAGTTATTGCTGTATTTGACATGTAATTTATTATTCCTCATTTTCTTTTATAAAGTTAAATTTTGATTCACCAAGAAAAGTTAGTGACAGTCAATTATTCCCTTCCCCTTTCTCTGTTTCATTTTATTGTTATGAGAAAGCTTAATTTTTAACCACGTAACGATCTTATTGCAGTGTTATTGGAAAGGAGAGTCACGCAAGAGACAAAAGGAAAGGGCAACAAACTCTTCCTGGGGACAGATTTCCCCAGCAGTGGGTTAATCACTGGGAGAACTGTGTCTGGGGAAAGGGCAGCAATGTCTGTCTTCCTGTCCTCTGAGAAAATCCTTCACACCCATGATCTTAGAGATGGCCCTTCCGTCTTGTATTTGCCTGTATGACAAGCCACGGTGCTTCAGCACTGGATGTCTGGTACCCTCCCTCATTTCTGGAACTGATCCAGTTGTACTGACACACTAAAATCCTGTGTTTCCCCTAATAATCACAGGACAGCCAGCCCTGGGATAGGAGCTGGAGGGAGAGCAAGTGTCCTGGATAAGGAAGCAGGCACCCAGGTACAAGGAAGGGGGTTCCAGACCTTGACAAGGATACCAGCACCATCAAAGCCTTTCCTCCTCTGTAACAAGGGCCTGAGAGAAGTGGGCATGACACAAAGTGTGGGAAAAGGGAATTATGTAGGAGGAGGTTGCTGCTGAAGAAACCATCAGAAACTCACAGTTTTCTGATGGTTTCACACCATCTGTCTCTTGAGATGCCCAAGAGCTTTGAAGAGTTAGTAAAGTTCAATTCAGCATCCAAACTTAGGAAAGCTGTTTTGAGAAACAGCACCCGCTGGGGAACTGGATTCACCTCTCAGTACTGTTCCTCCTGGTTTTGGCAGGAGCTGGAGGACAAGGCAAGGGAGTGTATGGAGGGAAATACGAGGTATAGGAGAAGAAATGGGTCTAGTCATGCCTACAGACCTAGAACAACCCATGCATGAACTTACCACCGCCGTTCTTGTAGCAGAGGTATGGGAACCTCCACACGTTACCCAGACCGATGATTTCCCCTGCCACAGACAGCACAAACTCCATTTTGCTGCTCCACTGGCCTCTCTCTTCTATTGCATCCCTTTTCATCTCTTCAGAAACTACGGTGGCCCCATTGGGCTCTCCTTCCTTGGCCGCAGCTCTCGTCATGGCTCTGTGGGACAGAGGAGAAGGACAGCATGGGACATAGCGAGCTGCTGTAGGACACACAGGTGGGAAAAGGAGGGAGGGGATCAGTCACCACAACAGATATCTTCCTACTACTATCACCAGGAAGTTCTCCTCATCCTTGGGACAATGGCTTATTTAGAGCCAGGATGAAGAATTTTCCCCAGGTTACGTCTGTGGGACTGAATGTCTGTTCTGAAGGGACAGAGGAAAGGCCACTGGTCGGGTGAGAATGACCCACCTGCATCATCCCTTCACTGGACTCACCCCCCAACTCATGCTTCCCCTCCCCCTCCGCACCCTTCCTCAACCTTCCCAGACCACCAGCCTTACTGTACCTCCATCTGCCCCACTAAATGCTCTGCACCTCCACCACTGCTGGAAACTTGGCTGGGACTTTGGAAACATCAGTTCAGAGGAAGAGAAAAGGAGCTGGATCTGAAGCAGAGCATGGGAGCAGGAGATTCCCTTCCCTGTGTGCTTTATACAGCATTTCCTTCTGGAGCAGTTGCACAGAGCAGGATAGAGATGTTGCGGACTAAAAGCCTGAACAAGAACGGGGAACCTACCACCTCACCTCAAGGCATTGCCAGGAGCGCTGTCTTTGACCCCTCGGACACCGTGTTACACCGCCATCACAGCCTGTGACCTCAGCAAAACACACACACTCTTACCTGGCCAAGGCTCCCCTCGAGAGCAAACCTCCCCCTCCACGCCCGGCCCTGCAAAGGATGCAGAGCAAGGAAACAAAGCCTCTGATATGAGCAAAAGGACCTCGTAACTGAGAGGTGTTTCAGGTCTGGGCAAGGCTGCCCCAAGATTAGCCAAGCCCAATTACTGCAGTGGAAAGGTTAGTAGGACAAAGCCCAGCTGTGGAAACACAGAGCAAAGTCACTGCTGGAGAAGGCACATTGAATGTGGCTGAGCCTGCAGGGTGGGACCAGGAAGACATTCTCTGGTCTGTACTACCTCCTGAAATATATTTAGCATCATCTTAATTAAGCAAAGTTGGTGGCTGCTTGTTACAAGATACAATTTTCTGTCATACACAAAGTACTTTAATTGGATAGTTAATTTAAATCTAGCCAAAATGCACACAGATGAGATTTAGTCTTCTTGTTGACAACATTTTCACATTGTTTACAGGCATTTGATTATGAGAAAAAAATTAAGTGTGAAGAGAGAAATCTTCCTTTGACTTAGCTAAAATATTCTCCTTAAAAGCTTAATCTAATGAGTAACCTAAGGTGGGGATGCACACGTAAGTCCAGAAAGCACAGAGCCAGCACGAGGAGGGCAGCTGATGAACTGTGCCAGAGAAGACATAACTGTACCTACATCCTGCTGGTGGCATTAATGAGCAGAAGTTGGCCTTTGAAGGGGTAATTGGCATTAGCAAGGGATACACGTTTCCATGTTGGGATTAGAAAACTACACTGGAATCAAGCCTCTCCAAAGCAGCAGCATCTCTGCTAAAGCCTTCCATTCCTGCCAGCTGCAAGTGCTAAGAAATCAGGGCTTTGTCCCTTCGCAGTAAGTTTCCTTACACTCAGTTTGCTGGTGCAAATAGGTTTTTTACTAGCACACCCACCATTCCTTCCATGCCTCCTAAGGGGACATCCCCACCTCCAGGAAGCAGCAGGACAGCAATCTGCATCACCCATGCTACTTACCTCTTCTACCTCTGCCCTCAGGCCTGCTCCAGATCACGTCAGCTTTCCCTCTCCCAGGCAAAGTCCAAGCATGGCACTGGAGGTGGCTCAGTCCAGGGACCTCTCCCCGGCAGCACAACAAGCAAGACCTCACCATGCTTGATGCCCTCTACCCGACAGAACCACCAATAGGTGGATAAGTATCCATCAAACTTTTGCACCAGGATGGTGCACCAGGACCAGGATGTCAAACATTTCCCTCCCTCCTTGTGCCTAATCTCTCTCCAGTCATCTCCCTCTGGGCTAGCATCAGGGTATGAGCCATCTCATGGGGAGTAGGGACTACCAGGGAGTCTGAGTTTACTGGTATTAAGAGCAAGTGTGGTCCTAACGTCAAACCCAGTAGCCTAGAAACACCATGGCACTTGTTTCAGTGCAGTTTTCAATGAGGCAAGGGGGAAGCAGAAGTAGGAACTGGTTGGCCATGCTTGCGCTTACTCTGCTGAAGACAGCATTATTACCACCGTGTCTCCTTTACTTCTGCAATTTGCCCAGTGCAAATGAAACGATTTCCTAAACGCTAGCCCTCTGGATATATCAGGCCCTGGGCAAAGAAAGATGCTTGCGTCTCAGAAGACAACTTTTATTGAATGTTCATAGCAAAGAAAGCTGGTTGAGGCACAAGGCATGTTTCTTCCCTCTGTCATTCAAGTAAAGGAAACCAGGTTTCACAGTGTAATACACCAATTGCTCTCTAAATGCCCAGGGCAACAGCTGCATTGGTGCTGGAGGGCCTATCCTGTTCCCTTTGAAATCAGCAGCAGATTTCCACGGACTTTGAATGCAGAGAGCTGAATCCCATGCAAGGCAGTAACACTGCCTTTAGTAAGAGGGGCTGCAGCAAGGAGGAGCATAAACCACAGAGGAAGGCAGTCAGGGGTCAGCAAAGACCATCCTCCAGGCTATCTAGCTGTCTCTTCAAAAACATTCTGGTCCCCTATTAAATTTGAGATTTTTTTTTAGACATTTCCAGAAAGGGCTTACACATGGGCAGTGAGCACAACCAGCTTCACTGTCAAATGCAGATGCACCAGGGCACTAAGGAAGCGACCTCCCTTTTCCTCCAGCCCTTGCCCCTTACGGTCCATGTGCCGGGAAGCACCTATTTACCGGTCTGACTTGTGCGGCCCCAAACCCACCATGTGCTACAGCACGTATGGATTTACACTTGGGCGTGCTGCTGCATCCGTCCTCTAACAGGCTTGTACCAACCTCTAACCCCACATTTAAAGAAGGTGGCGCAACGCAGAAAGCAAGGCACGCACCGGCTGGTGCAGAGCTAGCGGCTCTGCTGCTCACCAGCACGGAGGTCTGCCCGGTCCCAGCTTTGCCCCCTTCACTTAGCTGGCCTGCTGGGTTGGATCAGGAGGTGGAAACGTCAGGTCCTCCCACCAGTCTTTTCTCAGCTTCCAAAGCCCCAGCAAGGCCCCTTTCCCTGGGCCTGCCTGCAGCAAGCCTGCCAGCTGGCTAATCAGTTCATTCAGATGCTGCAGCACAGCCTCCTCATCTTTGAGAGGAGCAGAGCTCCACGCACTGTCAAATGTGAGAGAAAAAATAACCCATACTTAATGAAACGTGTTTGATCTGCCACAGTCCTTGGCACGTTCCAATTTGCTGCAGTCCAGGGCACATTATCAAGTACAACGATGCTTAAGTTCGGGCTTATTGAGGATGTCATGGGAAGCTGACAGGAGAGGACTTAGCTCGCTCTTGGCTTTAATTCTTCTAATACAAGGTAGATCCAAGAGCCAGCCTATTCTTTCTACCCGCATCTGTGGCTTACCCGGTTTTGCGTTAGACCTGTTTCCCACAGGGGCGGGGAAGATCGCAATCAGGGAGTCACCTCCTCTCACCTAAGGCAGGGAAGGGAACGCCCTGGGTGCCAGCCTGCAGCCTCAGCCCTGTCACCAGCCTCTACCTCAGGGACACCTTGGACCCGGGCTGTGACTCTGCACCTCTCCTCCGACTCCAGACCAGGCCAACACAAAGGACAGAAGCCGACACACTGCAATGGGGAACAGGGCTGGGACACAGACCCGCAGGGGAGATGTGGTGCTTGTGGCTTCATTTTCCTATTTTAAAAAGGGGGAAAGGACCCCGGTTACGGAATAAAACCTTTTCAGCTGGGTGCAGGCAGTAGATTAAACAGGTGCCCAAGGTTTTGGCCCTTCGTGCCATGAGCTTCAGCTTCTCCCTTCCCAAACAAAGTGATGCACAGCATTTACACAACCCCACTACTTCCCCCTCTGCCTTGCCTGCTGTTTCTACGAGAAAGCCTATTCACACACCTCCTGGCTCTTTTCCTGAACATCTAGTCCTCCTGTGCCCTGCCCTATATGTTCTCAGGCCAGATAGGGACCCAAATCACTTCTTGTTTCCAGCTAGCAGCAATTTGACTCCTCCACAGCAGCCACAGCCACCCCGCTGTGTTACAACCTCCCCGACACACAGACGTTTTCTTCTCCCTTTGGATGCTCCTCTCCTTAACACCTGAGTTCGGAGAAAAGGCTTTGCCCCTTGCTGTCTGCCTGCATCACTTCTGCTGACCCTTTGCCAAAGTTTGAAGAAAAAAATCCTCCAACTGCTTCATTTTTTTCTCTCTTCCATAGTTTTTCCCACTGTTAAGATGCCACTTGACACAGTCCAGAGTCTACCCCCTTTCCTGGACCACTCAGACATTAACACCAGCACCTTCCCTCCTCAGATCCCTCAGACCTCCCCAGTCTCTTCCAGAGGTGCCTTGCTGTATTTTCAGCCCTCGGCACTCTGAGGAGGTGCCTTTTTCCACAGCTGGAGTACCCTCTGCAGACTCAACCCCCAGCCTCTTGTTCTGACAGAGAAAAGGGGGCTTCCCTTGCAACCAGTCCAACAGGCAGCTCCATATGAAAGTGGTGGATTGGTACCAGGCCTGGTGCATGGAGGTGGCCACTCCTCTTCATGAGATTTATTGCTGGGAAAATAAAGGATACACCCGGATTCCCGCAGGCACTGAAAAGAGAGCAGGCAGCATGCAGGCAGCCGTGAACACAGACCCCACCACAAGTTGCCTTCTTCAATATCTGAATGGGGTAGCCCAGTCTCCCCTTGGTCACAAATTCTGGCCTGTGTTTGTCCCATACCTACCACTATAGGATCCTTCATGTATGGCTACAGAAGGCAAGGAAAGCCAAGCACACCCCTGAAGTGCCTGTGGATGCTCAGAACAAGCTGCCACTAAAGGGGTGAGGCAGGAATCAGAAAAAGAAGAATGGAAGTGTCCTTTAAAAGCAAAACATGGTGGTATCCTCAACCTCCCCAGGGGCAAAAAGGGCTTATTCGGGGTGCTCAGGTGAGACGAGGAGGAAGAGGCCTGGGGTTTTGGTACCAGAGGAAGAAGCCATTAGAGATTCTCCTAAATCTTTTCTTCCTGCAAACCTACTGCCTGTTCCTGACTGCCATCACACAGGAGCTCCTACTGCTGGGAAGTTAACAGCCTCCGTTTGACCTCTTCTGCTGTTTTATCTTAAGGCAAATGAGAGGAGAATAATTTCCAGAGCAAACAGCAAAACAGAGCGAACAGAGATGATGTTAAAAGCCGACAAGAAGACTTCTCAGAGGAAGCACAGTTTTAAAGCACCTTTGGACACTCCTAGGTGCTGCCTGAGCTGCAGAAGGCAGAATCGCAGGTGATGCTGCAGACAGCTGCATTTCTATTCCTTGGTTTCATTTTGGAACAAGGAGCAGCCAAGCACATAAATTGCTATTTAAGGTGGGGAGGGAGGAATCAGCAAGCAAGCAGGCTGTGCTGTGTTGCAAAAGGAGGAGCAGGAGGGCACAGAAAATTCTCTGGTTGCACAATATGAGCCAGCAGTTAGTTGGCAGCCGAAATCCTGCCTTGCATTTCAATGGCAGGAGGCAGGGACGGCTGTGGGAGCAGACAGAAAATCAGGGCTCAGCGAGCAGCAGCAGCATCAAGGTACAGCTTAAGGAACAAACCCGGTTAGATCAGTGTGTGGGGGATGCTACTGGAATAGGTCATATCTGCTAGATGGACAGGAAAATATTAGCAATAGAAGTGTTTTCCAGCCAATCTAAGGGCAGCTGCGTGAGCGGGGATGACTGCTTCCAGACCCAAGTGCTGCTGGAGAATGGCTCACTCCAGCTGCAAAAAGGAAAGAGGCAAGGAAAGATGTAGCAAGAGGAAAACTGATCAACTCCAGGACAGCAGTCGAAATTAAAATGCCTTTCATTTCAAGTTGTTGAAAGCTAGTTGGCTTCTTTACACCTTCTAATTAACTTCCAGGTTGTGTGGGCTGCAGGGCATTCTCAAAGCATCTGTTCAACAAGGTTCATGGGGCACAGGAGGCTGTCACAAGGATCAGATCCTGCTTACATTTTCTCCAACGTGAAATAAGAGCAATGCTTCTGCAGTCAGTGAATTTGCTGCTTACTGACACCCACAAAAGTGAGATAAGAAGCAACTGTGAGTTTACTAATGACATGTACATCTGTGATGCAAGCTGCAAGGATTATAGAGCACCAGCCTTCAGGATCACACACCCCCAAGCTCAGGAGGAGGCCAAATGGCTCCTGCCCCATCCTCTGCTGCCAGGACAGGAAAACCTCCCAAGTACCTAATAGTGGCTGGACTTCCCTGAGAACCAGTGGCAAATCCCTTGCTAAAAGCAGAGCTGGCTGTTGTTCTCTGTGCCGGTTCAGTCTCTGCCGCTGACTGTGGCTCACCATCCCTGCTCTGGGCTACAGACACACACAGGTGGGTTCTTACTTCAGCCTAGGAAAAAATCAAAACTGACTGATGAAGTCCATAAATGGGATGCAAATATGATCAGAAACCAGCCTTTGCCTTTACATCACAGGAGACACTCTCAAAGACCTCCACCCAGCTCACAGTCTGGTTGTACCCACAGCAGGAGGACCAGTAGCACGCAACCATGGCAGCACCCAACTTTCTCACAGAGCACCACAAGGATGGGTCTCCTAGGACACAGAGCCAGGCTGGCCCCAGTGTAGCCCCTGGAGCCACCCACCTCGTGACCGGAGGTGTCTGCCCAAAGTCCGGTGTCAGGCTTGCTCAGAGGTGAGGGGACAGCACATCTCCATTGCCGCACTGGGGGGACAGCACGGCTCCATTCACTGGCTGGAGGAGCAGAGCAGGTGAACGGCACAGAGGGCGAAAGCCACGCTGCTCCAGCACCCACTCTGCAAACAGGCAGGTGCCCCACAGGAACAGGACAGAGTCCGCAGGAGGGGACATAGTGGCTAAAGGGCTGCAAATTCATGGAGCAAGGCACAGCACCCGGCAGTCCTGGGCAGGCCAGGGGAAGGGAAGAAGCCAGAGTCCGGTGCTGCGGCTTGGCCGACGGCTGCTGACCCAGCTCAGCCTGAGGCTGAAGACCAAGGGGTTAGGGAAGGGTGAGTATCAAAACAGCTACACTCTGAGGATGCATGCGAGCCCGTACAAAAATCCTAACCTCTGCAGTGCCCAGAATACGAACCTTAGAGTTGCTTCCCTGGGGCTGCTGCTTTGCAGCAGGAGAGAAGAGGCATCAGCATCGCTGGTAGCCAACGTCTCCAAAAGCCTGCGGCTCGAAGGCCAGAGAGCACCGCAGGCAATTTGGCATCACACTGCTCTAGGCACTTCCAACTAAACTCCCCCAGGCAGGCACACCCTGGCTAACTTCCCGCAAGCACAGCCTGGGGGCACTTGCTATCAGAGTGATGAGAAGGGGGAGAAGAGCGCTCAAGCAAAACTCTTTCAGAAGCAAAACTCAAGCAAAACTCCTCCAAAAGGCAGGTGAGGTCATGGCATGACGCATTACCTTATGCCTCCCAGCACGAGAAAACAGCTGATTTGGCAGAGTCCGATGCCCCCACAGAGCAGCGCCGCACAGGCTCCCCGCACTGAGGTCCCTGTTCAGCCCTGCACAAGGAGTCCAGCACCCCGCATCCAGCTCAGGTGTGACCTGGGGACATACCTGCCCGACCCTGGGCAGGCCCAGCCATCTCCAGTTGGTGCACAGGATAGTGCACGTCAGGAGGAATCAGCACGCTGCAGCACAATAGCACTGCATCCCACCTGCACATCCCAGAGAGATGGTATCTGCTCTCCACCCTGGGCCACCAAAACCTTCCTAGAGCCCTGCCCAGGAGCACGGCAGGTAGGTATGGCGCAGGGCTCATTAGCCTGCCCTCTGCAAGGACCACATCTGCACCCATGAATCCGGCAAGGTTGGGCTGTTGCAGGGCTGCAGAGGTCAGGTCCAAAGTACAGCCTCTCGTATCAGCAGCTGTCAAAAAGGAAGAACTGGGGCAATGGCATTTCCAATGGCATCGGATGAAAGCCCTGGCTAGTAGTGGTTATTTTAAAAGCATTGTTGATTTAAGGAGACACAGATCAGGCGTTATGAAACCCCCATGTGTTCTGCTCAAGTTTGTTCACAAATATGCCCAGGGATCCCCGGAGTTTAGCACATGCACAAACTCTGCTGTCTGCTTCATCCCTACAGAGCAGCAAACCTGATGAAGGCTCTGAGGCAAGAAGGACAAGGAGCACACCCCCAGGCACTTAGAGCTGCAGTCCCCGAGCCTATGTGCCAGGGCCAGCACCTCTGCAGGGCAGCACATGGGGAGAGGGAGCCACTGCCACGTGTTAGCAGGAGCGTAAATGCCTACAGCCTGCCTCACTTGAGCACCTTTCCTCCTGTACCTGTTATCACCTCGCCATCACTTCCATTCACCCCCATCCCTGTCTGACCCACTCTCATCTCTTCTCAACCTTTCTGCTGTCTGAGTCCTTTTTTTTCTCTCCCTGCTGCCACAACCTTCAGTACCAATTACCCATCCCTCAGGCATCCCTTTGCTCTGCAGCTTCCTAGCAGCATCACTGCCTGTCCTCTCCTATAGGAACCATTGAAACAAAAACCTCTTCCCTGAGTTGATCCAAGCTGATTATTTGCTCCCCATCCTCCAAGCTCGCTCTTCCTTTGCTTAACGTTGGGAAGCTTTTCCCTGTGGGATTTGCTGGCCCGCTCCCCAGAGCACAGCAGGCAGCTGGCGTGCGGCAGCTGGCTAGGGAGGACGGGAGACACCAGCACTCCCAGCATGACACGCACATCCAGCCCATTCTGCTCCACAGGCAAACGCTCAACTCACCTGAACCCCACACAGGTCTCCCTCAGGCAAGCCCGTCCCGTCCCACTGGAGTCCAGGCAGGGAATCCACAGAGTGCCAAAGAGATACAGCCAGAGTTAAGGCAAAGAGTCCTCTCTCTCCTCCTCCCGTCCCTCCCTCTCCACCAAATTGCCACCCAGCTCACGTGTGGGTGGTGGGACGGCAAGAAGGGAGGTGCATCAGGGCGGGAGAACTTTCTCCCCAGCTCCCTTACAACATACACCTCTCCAGACCTTGAACTGCGGCCCTGACAGGAGAGCAAGGAAAGAAAGCCTCCAGGGTCGGGCAGGGTAAAGGCCCAAAGTTTGCAAAGGTCAACCTCAGCAGCTGGTGGAGTGACTCCAGGTCCTCTCCACCGCGGCGGGAGGGAGCTCTCCCCTTGCAGAGCCCACGGCATGGCCCGGGCTGGCTGCTGCACACCCCCACTGCTCTGGGGCTCCAGCACTTTGGTGGAATAGCGGCACCCGTTAAAAATCTCCTGCAAACGTGCACAACAGACCCTCTCCAGGGCCCACTGCGCTAAACCCGCTTCAGTGGCCAAGCTGGAGGCTCACCGACACTGTCAGGCAGATAAGCAAAAGGCAAAGGGCATATGGCAGGGGGATGTTTGGCTTGGGATCATGCAGACCCCTCCATGCCGAACACTGCGAGTGCAAACGCAGCTCGTAGGAGAGCTCTGTCAGCTGGAGTCTTTGTTTTCATGGTGTCAGTGTGCTCACTGCAAGGGAGCAATCCCTCTGCGCCTTTGCCCTGGCAGCTCTTTGTATCCATCTCAGCCCTGATGCACTTTTCCAGGGTTTCTCATGACCAACACCACGCATTCCAGTTATCCCATTTTTCTCAACACAGGTCAGCTCAGATTTTTTTGTTGATGTTTAATGCTATTACTGTTTTGTCCTTTGCTTTGTCTGTTAATGTGCCTGCCAAATTCCTACTGACCTTTTCATGTACCCATGTGGCCAAGCCACAGCAGCACACCCGATGGAAGCTAGGACAGATCCAGCACATGCTCCAGTCTGCCCACCTGTCAAAGCTCACCAGGCAAGCATCCCCCAGACCCCTCAGCATAGGTCGTTTGTAATGTCTCAAAAAAGAGTGCCAGAAGCCAGTGAATCAGATCGCATCAGAGCACGCCTTGGGGACAAGCGATGCTGGAGATGTGTGTGAAGGGAGTCCCTTGTGCCTGGTGGCATCCTCAGGATAAAACACTGAGACCAGAGCTGGAGGCAGTAGGGGAAAACATCTCCTACTCTGGGGGGGTTTATTTACTACCTCAGCTGACACTGGGGGCAGCTGCTCTGAGACCACGCTGCTGGGGAGCACAAAGAGGGGGCAGAGCTGCTGGGGGAGAGTGCTGGGGGACATCCAAGCCAGCCCAATCTTTTCACAGAGGTCCCCGTCAGGCAGCAGGGCCATGAAGGCAGAGGGTCAGGGTGGCAGCTGCAGGAGACAATGCCTCTTCACAGGCAGCCAAAGGCAACATTCCCAGGTTAATACTTTCCTAGCATGCCGTTATTCAAAGCCCTGGCTTTCACCTACCATTTGGGCTGGTTGGGTGGATTGGTCCCATACCCAAAGAAATACAGGCTGATTGTTCCCTTACATGGGCTGGGACCAACATCAGAGGGACCAGGCTCCATCTTCTGCCTTTTGGGGGCTGTCTCTGAAGTCCTGAAAGACTGCAAGGTGAGCATCGTGTCCTGGCTACGCAAGGCAGGCACCACACTGCCTCCATCCCTGCCAGCGAAGGGCAGTGCCGCTGCCTGTCCTGCCACGGAGAACTGGTGTGACCCAGCACAGCTGGGGAAAAGGTGCCATAGAGGTCATCCAGATATGAAAAGGGGATTGAGATAAGCCTTGGTAAGCAGAGCTGACCTAAAAACTTGATTTATCCACACTGAAGTGTTTCACAAGAACATCACAGGTTTTTTTGCAAAACTGTGGATGGGAAATGACCTGTGACATTAAGGTAAAACAAGAAGAAAGTCAACCTAAATAAAAACTTTACCCAGCTATGTGTGAAAAATCATTCTCTAGCAAGGGAAAAAAAAAAAAAAAAGAAAAAGGCTGCTATTTCTGCTTTCCAGCCCAGAAGTTACACTGAGGCTTCAGAGTTTCCCACCAGGCAATAATTCACTGCGGTTTGAAATCCTGCTACAGGCATGAGGCACCTTTATCCCACCACAGCAGCCTCCATGTAAGGGATTGCACCAGTGTAACAGTCCTGACTGAAAAACAGGCCCCAGGAGAGGGCAAGAGAAGGGGTGACGCACTCCCTGGCCACCAGTTTCCACCTTGGAAAGGGATGGCAGCATCCAATTTTGCAGGCAGGAAAACCAAGACAAGAGGAAGCCCTGTTGCTGTGCCCGAGGGTGCACAGGAGGAATGGGAAAGCACTGCTGTCCCTCCACACAGAGAGACCCACTCTCTCCACGGCTGCCAGCCCAGAGACTGCCACACAGCTTTCCATCCCCTCTCATCAGCAGAGGGGGAAAACTCTCCTCGAAATGACCCAATTCCCTCAGCCTTCCAGGGCAGCTGGAGGCCAGGACTCAGCCTCCTGCACCAGCCTTTGCCCTGATGGATGGCTAACGCCAGCCTCAGGGATGTCCTGCACCTCCGCAAAGGTCTCCTCCTCCCCAGCCCACTCACTGCCTGCCAGCTGGCAGCGCACCCTTGTCTCCCTTTTTACCTTCCGTTTTCCTCCCTCAGAGTGCCTGTTGGCTTTTCCCATTACTTGGGTCCCCCCGCTGTTTCCTCCCTTTCAGCCGGCTCCGACATGCCTGCCAAAGAGCCAGCCCAGCTCAGTAGGCTGCCAACATCGGCCCACTCAGGGGCCGTGCTCCACCGCGGTGCCCTCCTCCATGAGCCAGCAAGACACAAAGCTTTGAGCCAAAATCAACCCCTTGTCCCCGCAGCGCAGCTGCTGGGAGAAGTCTGTCGGCATGACATCCTGTGGGTGCATCCGAAATGGGCTCCTGCTTTCCAAACGTTAGGGGCTGGGGGAGGCAGGCGCTGGGTTTTGTGGGGGAGACAGAGCAGCCTGCTGCCTTGGCTGCCCCCCTCGCTGGGTCACATGCGGGAGAAGTCACCACTGTCCTCGCTCGTCCAGACTAATCCCACCTCTTGACACCTTTGCTCATGAAAAGGGGGAAATGCTGGTTCCCCCATGGGCACAGCACAGCTGCTTATTCGGTCGGGAACTCAGAGAGCCAGGGAACGCTACATTTGCAGAGGAGTTTCCCCTAAGGCATTCTGGTAATTTATTTTTCATGTTTATGGCTAATTTCTGTGGCTTCCTACAACAGCTTCAACTGTAACTAACCACAAGTGAACATAACCAAAGTAACAAGTGCTAACAAGAGCCCACAGAACTGTGATGGGCTCCAGGAGCCACAGCACTGCTCCTGTGTTGTGCTCCCGGGGAACTGGACGCTGTCAGGAGCCTCCACCTTTGGACTTACAGGCAGGGTGAGACATCCCCTATTTCATAGCATCCCCAGTGAGGGAAAGAATGAGGCTTAGGAAGCCCACTCTTGGCAATACAAGTGGTCAGGAGGGAAGATTAGCGATGCTGGGGAGACTTCTGTGGTCTCACAGCCTCTCTGAGTCTAACAGCATACTCGCTGCTGATCGGAGACCAAGGAGGACACAGAAAGAAGGCAGGACAGATGGTTATGTGCCCATTCGCTCCTGCTTTTCCTCCCTGCTTGCTGAGGGCAGCTGAGCCTGTTGCTGCGAGATGTGTGTTGTGACAGCCAACACCTTCGATACACAAGGCTCAAGGACGCAAAGGACAAGGTTGGTCTGTGGGGACAGAGAACATGCTACTGCTCAAAGGGATGTGTCTCTGAACAGATGGAGAAGGGGGCAACCGAGTCACTGGTACCTGCTCAGAAGTAATGACTTCCCAAATCCATCTGTGTGCTCCTTAGGCACACTTCCCTTATCTGCACCATGTAGGTCCCCATCCCACAGGCTGCTAACCACATTAGGAGACAAGGGCTCAACCAAATACCCTGCTCTGAGGAATACGTTCATTTGCACTGACCTATAGGAGACACTTAACCGATTATTTGGGGGGTCTTTACTTCACAGGATTACATATCCCACGTTAAAATGTCAATCTTACTCTGTTGTCTCCATTTATGCACCATAACTTGTCTTCTCCCCACAAATCCACCATCACTTAAACATGCAACACGACCTACACTGCATGATTCTTCAATAGCCATGGAAAACCATCTTACATATTGCCAGTGACAAATGGATAAGGACCCCAAAGGGCATCTGTTCAAACATGCTGGGAGCCCCAGTGTTCAGGCTGCTCCCCATGGGAACAGAGGCATCCTGGTCCACAGGTCTGTCCTCAAGATCTGAAGTCTCCACCCGCCCCATTGTGGGCATCTCCATCCAAGGCAGAGGACAGCAGCATCAACAGTATCCCAACAACCACACACTTCCTGTCTCAAGGGATACCAGCACCTCCCCAGATGAAGACGGTATGAGTAGGGGTAAATTCCACAGACTGCAAGAAGAGCCATTAAATTAATGCAATGAAAATCACTTTTACCATATTCCAAATCATGAACTGTGATCCAAAATCTCTGTATTTTGAATTTCACCAAAATTCCCTCCAACTATGGGATTTTAGAAAGTGCTATGAAAAATGTCATGTCTGGAAGTTTAAAATATATTAACTTTGGATTTAGTCCATCAATCAACCTTCTCAGTGAACAGTCCAGAATATATTTGACTCATATTTCAAGCCAGGTGTCATGGGTTCCAATGCTTTGTCCTAAAGTACTCCCAAAAATAAGATGATTATTTAAGAATGTCTAGCAAAACCTTCATTTTTTCTACTTATCTGACCTGCCTAGCTCATCCAAAGCTTGACAGCAATTTGGTCACGTAGGAGCACAGGCTTGGGAGGTTTCCTGGCTCATACGTAACCAGATCAATAAACCACATGCCCAATTCACTGGACACCAGGCTATTTTGAAACAACACGAGTCACAAGCCTTTCGGCAGCCTCCCGCTTTGCCTACGTTCAGCTTTCTACATCAGACATATTCTGGAGATAGCTGTGGACAATTACTATTTTCTATGAGAGTTAAAATATCTGCCCAGTGGGCCAAACCTCTTACAGATATTACAGGAAAATGAAAGTATAATTCTGTTTAAGACTAAAACTACATGGATAAAATGGGGATAAAATAACAGATATAAAAATACCTGTTGCTGTGGCTTCTACTGTGATTCACACAAAAAGCTAACAAGAAAACCCTTCTGTACTGAACTCCACTCAGCCATTGCTAGAAGAAATTTCTAGTGGCTGGTGCCATATCCAGGTGGCACGGCAGCTGGATGGTTCCATCCTCCATCACACCGTGGGTCTCCTCCCAAAGGAGCTTTTCCTGGGTTTCTAAGCTCTCTCCCACCCTCGGCTCACACACGAGCGCCATGAAGCACTGTGGCATCTGGAGAATCTGGAGCTCTGAGGCCTTGAGGCCTCCCAGAAGACCGCAACAGCCCGTTCAGCTCCGACATCCCTGAGGCTCCCCAGCCCTATGCCAGCATCGCCGGCATCGTCGCGTGCAGAAACCTGAGCTTCCGACAGGGAAGGTGCAGGGCTGACCCCGGGGTTCACCCACGGCTGCACGTGCAGCCCAGCAAAGGAACCCACGTGTCCTCGTGGAAAATGGAAAACAGGCTGGAAATGAGATGAGTTTTCCTCAGGCGCTCTGGACCAGAGCCAATGGTCCAGAATGAGCCTCTAGGCCCAGAAGACCACAGATCCATGGGCACCCCCTCCTGGAGCTCACATCTGGACACCCAGAAACCCTCCCAGGGACAACCCCTCAGCGTTGGTGCTCACCAGCCTCACGGCCTCCGTGGGCAACCCCTCACCCACCTGTCTCCCACCGCGGGTCACCACGCTCCAACACCACCAACCTGGGGAAAACCAAGCCAAGTCACGCGCCATTCCTGCAGGTCCCGGGGGGCTCCAACCAGCGTTGGCCCCAGCTGAGGTCACCGCCGTCTGCAGAGAAAACCTCAGCCGGAGACAGGGGGCAACCCCCAGGTCATGGTGATCCTGGAGACCCCTCCCCAGCCCCACAGAGAACAGGCC